GTTGTTTGTAATAATCTCTGATGATGGTTTGAATTTCTGTGGAATCTGTGGTGATAGCCTGTTGATTGTTTTTTACTGCATCTATTTGATTATTCTCTCTTTTCTTTTTTATTAATCTGACTAGTGGTCTATTTTGTTGATCTTTTCAAAAAACCAGCTCCTGGATTTATTGATTTTTTTCTTAGGTTTTTTTTTTTTTTTTTTTTTTTTTAGGGTTTTTATAGTTTGAGGTCTTACATAGAAGTATGTAATCTATCTTGAGTTAATTTTTGTTTATAGTGAGAGGTAGGGGTCCAGTTTCTTTCTTCCTGCATATGGTTAGCCAGTTTTCCCAGCACCATTATAGGGTGCCTATTCCCCATTGTTTATTTTTGTTGACTGTGTCAAAGATCATTTGGTTGTAGATGTGGGTCTTTATTTTAGGCTCTCCACTCTGTTATATTGGTCTGTGTATCTCTTTTTGTACCCATACCATGCTGTTTGGTTACAGTAAACTTACAGTATAGTTTGAAGTCAAGTAATGTGATGCTTCTGGCTTTATTCTTTTTGCTTAGGATTGCCGTGACTATTCAGGCTCTTTTTGGTTCCATATGGATTTTAGAATAGTATTTTTCTAATTCTTGGAAAAAAAAAAAAACATGTCGATAATTTGGTAAGACTAGTATTGAAACTGTAGATTGCTTTGGGCAATATAGACATTTTAATGGTATTGTTTTTTCCAACCCTTGTGCATGGAGTTATTTTCTATTTGTGTTGTCTGTGATTTGTTTTAACAGTGTTTTGTAGTTCTCATAATATCTTTCACCTCCCTGGTTAGATGTATTCCTAGCTGTTTTATTTTATTTTATTTTATTTTATATTATTTTATTTTATTTTAGTGGCTGTTGGAAATGGCATTGTATTGTTGATTTGGTTCTCAACTTGAACGTTACTGATTTTTTTGTACGTTGATTTCTTATCCTGAGTCCGGTGAAGTTGTTTATCAGATCTAGGTGTCTTTGAGCAGAATCTTTAGATAATTTTACTTCCACTTTTCCTATTCGGACACCGTTTATTTCTTTTTCTTGCCTGATTGCTCTGGCAAGGACTTTCAGTACTACGTTGAATAGCAGTGGTGAGAGTGGACAGCCTTGCCTTGTTCTTATGGACAATGCTTTCAACTTTTGACTGTTTGTATGATAATTGGCTATGAGTTTGTCATAGATGGCTCTTATTACTTTGAGGTATGTTCCTTCAATGCCTAGTTTGTTAGGAGTTTTAATTATAAAGGGATGTTGGATTTTATTGACTGCTTCTTGTGTTTCTATTGTGACGATCATATGGTTTTTGTTTTAATTCAGCTTATGTAGTTAATCACATTTACTGATTTGTATATGTTGAACCATCCTTGTATCCCAGGTGTTAAAGCCCACTTGATCATGATGAATTGATTTTTGATGTGCCACTGGATTTGGATTGCTAATATTTTGTTGAGGATTTTCGCATCTGTGTTTATCAGGGATATTGTCCTGTATTTTTCTTTTTTTTTGTTATATCATTGCCACGTTTTGGTATCAAGATGATGCTGGTTTCATAGAGTAAGTTAGGGAGGAATTACTCCTACTTGATTTTGAGGGATAGTTTCAGTAGAATTGGTACCAGCTCTTCTTCATACAGCTGGTAAAATTTGGCTGCGAATCCATCTGGTCCAGGGATTTTTAAGTTTGTTATTACTGATTTTGTTTGATTACTTGTTACTGATCTGTTCAGGATTTCTGTAAACACACTAGTCTTGAGGGGTTTTTTCCTACTTTTCTAACTGCTCCTTCTGTTTCTCTTTGTCTTCACATCTCCTAATGTAGGGTGCTCCTTTTCTCCCAGGCACAAAAAAACAAATGCTATTTGGTTTGGGTCCCCAAAGGACCTGTCTCCTCATTTCTATCTCATGCTTTTATCCACTTCGGCTATGTGTATGTATCTGTTTCTCTCTTCTTTCCTTTTAGCCCAATTTAGGTCTTTTATATTTAAAGAATGATTTCCATGTAATACTTTCTTCTACTTCTCACCTTCCAGTGAACCTTCAATTGCCATAGTAAAAGAAGTTAACCTCCCTTTGCACCTTGAATTTCTCTATTTATCTGAGTAGTTGTCAAAGAGCATTCTTTTTACCTTACTACCTTTGAATACTGTTTTGTATTCTGTTATGAGGTGGTCAGTCCAGTGTGGCCATAATAGGAGTTCAGTGTGGCCATAATAGGAGATATCAGGAAAGCAAAGTTTATTTTACTCACAGGTCCTAGAGACAGGAAGCACAGCACACAGTGCAGGGGTCACATGGGAAAGACACCAGGGTGTTGATGCAGAATACAGGAGTGAGCGAAAGGTTTAGGCCACTACATTTACTGGGGTTTCTGAAGGGGAATAGTTAGGCCATCACCTTTTTGCGGTGGCATGATTGTAGCTGGCTGTAGCCTCAAACTCCTGGGCTCAAAGGATCCTTCCTACCTCAGCCTCTGAGTAGCTAGAATTAGAGAGGAAAGCCACCCACCAGCTCTAGGCCCCTACCTTTATTGTGGTTACTGTGGAAAAATTAGGACAGAGTAAACAGTTTAGGATTGGCTAATTTGAATAATTTTGGAGGGCTGTGGGACCACCTAGGGGTGATCTCTAGTTGCCTGGTACCTGGCCCTAGGATGAAGGCAGAATATTGCCTCTAGAGTCTGATTGAGGAAGTATGACTCTAGATTGGTTGATTTGTGTATCAAAGACACGCTTCTGGCTGGGCCCTTTGCTATTTCCAGGAATTGACTAAACCTGGAAGGGGCAGTCTCTCCCCAGCCAGAAAGGTTTCTATGATGTCAAAATATCATAATATATTAAAAATGTAAGAACATTTTACAGTACAGAGGCCATACCTTCAGCTCATCCTCCCAGCAGAGGCAGAGCCAGGGCACTTAAATATTATTATCAATAGACTATTGTACCAGTGATACTAGAACTCAATCTCTCTGTGTTATTTAGTGCTTTGTGACTTATAAGCAGCTTTGTTAGCATTTTTATGGCAACTTGAAAGGGGAACCAGTATATAGAATTTTCACAAACTCCGTGAGAGTGGAATATTTGGTTCTGGAAGACTTCCTGTTAGTAGTGTGTTAATCTTTTAAGTGTTTGTCTCTGTTTTTCAAAGTCTCATATTCTTTTAGCCTTGTTGATTTATTTACTATATCTTGAGCATGTTTCTCCAGTGGTGAACAATCTCTTTTTTCCTCCAGTTTTATTGAGGTATGATTGACAAAATAATTTAATACTGTACTATTTTAAAATCTTCACAAAGGTAATGACATGCTGCATTGGGATAGAGATAACAGATAATGATAAAACACACAACTACAACTTTAAAATAGTGAAACTTCTATGTGTGACGTATGGAAGTGACTCTGGTTACTTGACTAGAATGTCGTGGAAAAAAAGAAAAAATAAAAGTGACTCTAATTACATTTTATTTTCATGCAAGTTTTCAATTACTTGACACAAGCATGCACTCTTAATTTTGCTAACTATGTATGTCTAAGTAGTTCTAGAGTTTTCTATTTGTGGAAGACTTTAGGAAAAAATAGAAGCGATTTTATGAATTTTTAGAAAGTGAAATATTTATACATATCTTTTATAATTATCTTGAGGAAACAGGGCTCTGGTTCATGTGATATACCTAATTATTCATTCTTATTTAAGTAATACATCTGCCAGAAGTTAGGATGTGTATATTGCCAGACATTAGCACTGTCTTAGAAACACTGCTGTAAGGTTCTAACTTTGTGCTCTCCTGACTGGTCTGCTCTGGATGTGTGTGCACACATAGGTGTAAGGATGGGAAGTTGGGGTGTTTGAGTGGTAGGAAATGGAAGTGTAGAGCCATATCCATGGTCTAGACAATTCTTACAGATTGCTGTGGCCTGTTATATTTTATTCAGTACATGATGCTCTGGCGTTTTCCAAGTAATAACTGGATATAGCAATTTGAAAACAATGTATTATAATTCCTTAGAAAATATTTCTATGTATAGAGTGGCATGTCTTTCCATAAATTAGCCCTATTCTGATATCACATCACAGCAGAAGTGGTTAAAAAGCACTCACATTTTTCTTTTCTTTCTTTTTTTTTTTTTTTGTGTGTGTGTGGGGGACAAGTTTTAGCTCTGTTGCCTAGGCTGGAGTGCAGTGGCATGATCTCACTGCAACTCCACCTTCTGAGCTCAAGCCATCCTTCCTCAGCCTCCAGATTAGCTAGGACTGGCTGATTTTTTTTGTAGGGACAGGGTTTCACCATGCTGCCTGGGATGGTCTCAAACTCAAGAGCTCAAGCCATCTGCCCACCTCAGCCTCCCAAAGTGATGGGATTACAGGCATGAGCCGTTGCACCTAGCCTGGCATAACATTTTGAAAAACATAATTATAGCAGATCCCTTGCTAATGAGATACATGCAGCAATCTGTAGTTTAGGATTAAAGGACTTAGTACAGCTATAGTTTTCTTTTTGCTTATCATGTGAAAGGTTGCTTTTTGCCATCAGATTGCTATTCATTAAAGTGTTTAAAGTTAATATAAATCTTTCTTGCTCTTGGCAAAGTCACCAGTGAATTTCTTCTGTCTAAGCCACGTATCAAGTAAGATGAAAATAGAAGAGAGCCTCGAGGTCTCTTTGAACACTCTTCCTATACTAGCTGCCCCAGTCACTGCATTCACATCTGAATTTTCACATGCCATCTTATGATTGTAATTTATTATTTTTATTTTTGTTTGTTTCTTAAGCTTTATCAGTGTTTGTGTACTTGTCATGCAGTCCTGCTTTTAGAAGAGAAACCATTTTACTATGTTTCCTTTTTTTTGAATCCCTTCTCCTTGGAGGTGCTTAGAAAAGTGCTTATGCAAAATAGGTGCCTAATGAATGCTGGGAACTGAAATCTAGTGCTTTATTTCATTTATTTCTTTTAATAGTTCTAATTGTTTTGCTTGCTTTCCAGGCACACAAACCAATGGTCTGGACTTTCAGAAGCAGCCTGTGCCTGTAGGAGGAGCAATCTCAACAGCTCAGGCGCAGGCTTTCCTTGGACATCTCCATCAGGTAGGAATGTTCTGCTTGACCATCAGTGAGAGTGAAAGAGGCATAAAATGCTAGGGCCTGAGGAAATTGTTTCAGAATGTGGGGCCTTTAAACTTACTTAAAGCCTAGTGCTAATTATGTATAATTGTGTCATTCTATTTGGTTAGTATGAAATCCTATAGTTTAATTGAGTGTATTGTCATTGACCCCACAGGTGTGGGGGAAACAAAAGAACTCTTGTGAATGGAATGTATATAACAACTGGTTTGCTGTTTTTATAAGTGAGAATCTGTGGTGGCTACCTGGTGGTAGTAAATTATCAGTCAAAAAAGATGTAGCTACCATTGCCTGAGGCCGGCTGTATAAGGCTCTGAGCTCCAAGCTCATCTCTGTCCTCTAAAACAGTTTCAGACCATGATAGTTTATTTGGGCAACTACTCAGAGGCTTTTGCTTGACTGTAACCCCCAACCCCTATTTTGAGGTTCAAAAGACTGCCACAACTTTGTTACCCTGTCCACAACATTTTTTTCCCTGGGTCTAACATAGACCATGAATTCTATTCATTCATGTTTTAGCTATAATGTAGAGGAAACAGGAATAAAAAAAAAATACAAACCCTAGCTACTCAGTAGTTTGGGATATGGGAGCTGGTTGAAAATGGAAAACAAACAGAGAAAACAGTTGGAAGATAGATTATCAGATAGATACAGTGTCTCAACCTTTTGATTTATGTCCACAGTTATATATTAGAGCAATATTTTGGTAATCTATAGCTCAATTAAAACCTAGAACTAATTTAACATGCAAAATGTGTTGATAATAATGGTGCTAGCAGTGGTGCCTAGTGATGGTGGTGGTAGTGATTCAGTGAAAAACCCATGTGAACATAAGACCTCCCAGGTAACATGTTAAGTTACTGAACACTGAATATATACATCTTAACTAAAGTCTTTTCATCAAAACATGTCATCAGACCACCTAACCTATAAAAGAAGCTCTTCTACTTGAAAACAGGTAAAATTCTGGAAAGCTGTTCTAAAACCCATTTATTTGTTCACAGACTCAAAGAGATATCATGTAGGCCCCAGTTAGCATCTTCCGTTAGAGTGAAGCCTAATGGAATGCTTTTGCCTAGGCACGTAGCTTTGTTTATATCTTTGAAATGGAAAAACTTCGATATTAACTTCCAGATAAAATACTAAGATGAATTAATACCTAAAATGAGTTAAATATATATTTTTAAAATATATCCTAGAAGAAAAAAAATGTTTCGTGTTGACTTTTTTTTCTAAGAACATAGTCAAGGCTCCAATAATTTTTCTGGGTCCTAAGGAATAGAATTTTTGACAGAGTTTAGTCAATTATTTGGCACCTAATGAGCCTCTTTATCTGGCTTAAATATGTGATAGTCCAAATGTATTTTTAAAAGTCCCTGAGGGTATGCAGATCATGTGCAGTATTCTCCCCACTGGGTCCAAATTCCAAGATGATTGCAACTCTCCCTGTATCAGATCCAAGACCCCTACGTCTAGCCATTGATTACCAAAATCATAGACCCTTCAATACCACCCAGACCAAAGGAGTGCAAACCAAAGAATTTTAGTTGAAATCGTGACACCATTGAATCTCCCATCAAGACACAGGTCCTTGCATCTGATTAGATAATTAACAATGTTATACTTGCCTTCTATTTCCAGCCCCCTTGTTGGCAGAATTAGCACCTTGAACCTTTCCTTACCGTGATTATAATATACATACACAAAATAGATGGTTTTAGGTCTGTTACCTCGTTAACTATAAGTTCTGTGAAAATAGATACCTTTTCTTGTTTACCTATATCCCCAGCACTTACCAAAGAGCCCCATAATACAACAGGTGTTCAGTATTTGTTGAATAAATTAATAGATGACCAAGTGGTCAAGTATAAGACTACTGAGAAAGAAATGATTAGCTTAGCCTGTACAATCTGAGACTTTTCTCTCAGGGTGATTTTTGAGCTGAGTCTTGAAGGGTGTTGGAAACTAGCTAAATGGAGTGGTAAAGGAATGCTCTGGTTTTTTTATTTTTAACTTCCTATTTTAAAATCTTTCAAATCTATAAGAGTTACAGCAATAGAATAGTGTTCATCTGGAAAACCTTCACTTGGAATCATCAATTGTTACTATTTGACCATATTTGCTTTATAGCATATGGGTTTATGTGTATATGTATGTATGTACACATACAAAATGCATTTTGCTTTTACCATATGTGTATATATACGTAAAAAATATTTTTTAATGGGGTCTCATATGTTGTCCAGGTTGATCTTGATCTTCAACTCCTAAGCTCAAGTGATCTTCCTGCCTCCCATGTAACTGTGATTATAGGCGTACATTGGCACCGAGCCAAAAAAAATTTTTTGGCTAACTCCTGTGAAAGTTGCAGATATTAACCATTTACTTCTAAATTCTTCAGCATGTTTTTTCTAAAAATAGCATTCTCTTATAAAACTACAGTGCAAATTTCAAATTCCAGAAACTTAACATTGATGTGATATCATTTTCTAATATTGACCCATAGTTATATACTTCTGCCCACAATCCAGTCTGTACTTTATATTTAGCTGTCATGTCTGTTAAGTCTTCTTTAATCCAGAACAATTCCTCAGCCTGTGTTTGTCATGATATTGACATTTTTTAAGAATAGAGGCCAGCTGTTTTATAAAATACCCCTAACACTTCAATATGTTTGATTGTTCCCTCAGTGGCTAAATTCAAGTTATGCATTTTTGAAAGGAATACAACACAAGTGATGCTGAGTTTCTCTTGGTGCATTCAGAAGGCATTTAATATTGCTTTGTCCCATTATTGTGATATTAATTTGGATTATTTTATTAAGCTAGTGTTTATCAGATTTGTCCACTGTAAATATGTCTTTTTGCCTCCTGGTAGGTAATACTCTGTGAGGCACTATTTTAAAGACTGTGTAAACATCCCGTTCCTCAACAAACTTTTACCCTGAAACATAAGCAAAATCACATAAAATTTTATCTTCTTCAAATCTTTGTGCCTGAAGCTATTTCCTTGGGTTATTTGACTTCTTAGGCTGTAGATCTTAAACATATTACCTCTTCAGATAGGCCTCCCCTTATTACACTATATTTTAAATGTGTTCTGTATACATCTTCAGATTTTGTTTTTTGTTTTTGTGTTTAGGGTTCTCATCTACTAACAGGACCAACAGTTTCAAATAAAGGACATAGCAATCAGTTCATTTTAGCTCTTAACTCTTTACTGAGCTCCACACAAACATTTATATTTAATTTCAGTACATGATGTTATTTGGTATATCCAGAATGGAACTCATTATCTTCTCTCTCCCTGTTAGTGGTACTACCATTTTCCAGTTGCCTAGGTTTGAACCCTGGAATAATGCACGACTCTCTTTTTTTTCATTTAAATCCAGTCAGGATTCTTACGTAGTATGTTGCAGAGCCTTTCATGTTTCCTACTTTTTGCTTCCACTGCCACCGTTCTAGCTTAGTTTTTCATTTATTCTAGCCTAGTTTATGTTCTCTTTTTCCCTTCTCAGTCTTTTTGTTTCAGGACATTGGCATTTTTGAACAGTATAAACCAGTTATTTTGTAGTGTTTCTCAGTTTGGGTTTGTCTGACTTTCATTGTGATTAGATACAGATTCTGTACTTTTGTTAGGGATGCAGCATAAGCAACGCTGTATTCTTCTCACTGCATCATAGCAGAAGGCCTGTGTCTCCTTCCTGGTGACTCTTGTTTGTACTCACTTGATTATTTGTCTGCCAGGTTTCTCCACTAAAAAGATAATATTTTACCCTTTCTAAGAATTAAGTATCGCCGGGCGCGGTGGCTCAAGCCTGTAATCCCAGCACTCTGGGAGGCCGAGGCAGGTGGATCATGAGGTCGAGAGATCGAGACCATCCTGGTCAACATGGTGAAACCCCGTCTCTACTAAAAATACAAAAAATTAGCTGGGCATGGTGGCGCGTGCCTGTAATCCCAGCTACTCAGGAGGCTGAGGCAGGAGAATTGCCTGAACCCAGGAGGCGGAGGTTGCGGTGAGCCGAGATCGTGCCATTGCACTCCAGCCTGGGTAACAAGAGCGAAACTCAGTCTCAAGAATTAAGTATCACTGGAGACATAGTTGAGAATATGTAAATATCCTTTTACTCCTTAGATGTCACACCCATTAGTTATCCATTGATGACTGCCTAAATCAGTTATTTTCTTAGTTGCCAAATGATGGTTTTCTATTTCCATGTGTATCCTTAATTTTAAATAACCATGATTTGAACTTTCTGAATGTATGAAATGTATTAAATGTTTTGACAGACTTTTATGTGTGGTTTATAAGATAGATTTCTTATTTCAGCTAAGAGTTTTAAGTTGAGATTATAAATATTTTAAGGACTTGACTGTGTGGATGTGTATGTATATTTCTCCTCTGGTATATACATGGGAAATTTGAAATTATTTTAATTATGTAGATGGTTCTGATTGTTTCTAATAATAAACAATGTAGATAGATAGCTTGTTCTTGTATGTTCTTTAACACACTGTGGAAGATTAAATTTTTAGAATCTAAGCATTCTGTGAAGACAAAAGAATGTTATGTTAGGAGCATTCAATACAAGTGTGGCATGGCTGATAATATTCATTTAGTGTGGGGAAACATCTTCAAAAAAAGATTAACAGCATTTTTCTGTGGGACCAGTTGGGGGTGGGTTGGGATAGGTTGAGAAGGGACTGAGCTTGTTTCATAAAGTTTTAACTCCTTAAGACAATCCTCTGTCTTCTCAGTTCTAGCTCGGTGACTCACAGTAGGCTTAATATTCAGTGATGACAACCCCTTGTGATGAATGTCAACAGTATTAAACTAGAACTTCCCCTGATTACTCATAGGTCCAACTCGCTGGAACAAGTTTACAGGCTGCTGCTCAGTCTTTAAATGTACAGGTAAGCTGGGACCTGGGATTATGGGTCAATCTTTTATTTATTTATTTTATATTTTTCTAATTTTCTATAGTGAGCATATATTTTATAATAGGAAATGCTTAATAGTACCTTTTAAAATTAGTGAATCTCATGAAGATTCAAATAATAATTATTGCCATTAATGAAAATCAGTTTTATATTCTGCTACTATATGAACCAAAGATGGACAGGAAAAGTCTACTTTCAAAGTTTTATGTATAAGTTCATTAAAAATGTTTCTAAGTTATACTGCTGTGACACATACCTAAATACACAGCATACAATACAAAGTTCTCTTAAATGCCCATTTGTTTGCAAAAGGCTTGTTCTTTGTCGTTTTTGAAGTCTTAGGGAGACCTCATAGGACAGAGGAAAGAACATTGGACTGAGACACAAGGGTCTTAGGTTTGCATTCTCATTCTGCCACTGACCAACTGTGTGACCTTTGGCAAGTCACTTAACTTAGGCTCAGTTTTTCTCTTCTATACTTACGTGGGGACATTTATAAGATTGCCGGGGTTCCTCTCCACCCTGAAATGTTACATTTCTAATAATTATAATTAAACCTGTATGTAGATATTGGAAGATAGACCGTCAAAATGTTAAAATAAAACTTAAATCTGGCCACTTCCCTTTGAACCATGTGCCAAAACATGACAAAGTTCAAGTGTTAGGCATTACTCTCTAAAATTTCAGTGAACCTGCTGCTTCCTTTCATTGTAGTGTTTAGGTAACCAGCAGTCAAGAGGGAAAGACGGTATTATGGAAGATTTATTTCAGTGTTGCTAATGACTAAAGACCTTGGGTTGAGCATTTCATGAAACCCAGTTGAATATGGACCTAGTAACACGTGGGAACAAGGAAAGAAAAGAAAAAGATAATGTGACCTTACTTTCTGAGGGAGAGGAGGCGGAAAATTGCCTTGGTTGCCATGGTAAACTTTCATCCCTTAGAGAGATGTTGGCAAACAGGCTGTATCTCCAGTGCAGAATGTTTACAGTGCTGCACTGTAATTATCTCTCAATGACTGGCAGAATTAATCAGAGCATTTATGTTAATTAGCCTTGCTGCAGTCCCTAAAACAGGTGGTGGGAAATATGCAAATCTATGCAGAATTTTAATGCTTTGCATAACCAGTTTTAATTACCATAAAATATTCTCTTCGTGCCCCTCTCTCTTGACTGTAGCATTATCTCTCTGAGCTTGTGTGTTAGTTGATGGGAGTTGCTAGATTTATCGTTTTGTAAAATATTATTAAGTGGAAAGTTCTGTGAATCAAGTGATCATTCTCTGAGATGTTATATGGAGAAGTTTCAGACTTGCCACCAGGTGTATGTTAAAATGTTGGTATGGAAGATCTAATGTAGAGATGGATGGAAAATGTATTCTTCCCTTTATACCCCCTATTTCTAGAATTGAGGAACTGGGGCTATGACAAAAAAATCTTTTACTTTGTTGGGGATGACTGAGTATTTCTTTTTAAAAATTGTAAAAGCAGCTTTGTCAGCACTGGAATAAAAAATCTAAAAACTCAGTATGTGAAACTAGGAAGATACAAAGAAAAGAAAGGTGGGAAACCAGAACTCATGACTGAATAAGCCCATGTTTTAAATGATTCCTAAAAGATGGGGTTTTAAGTACATTTCTTTTAATCAACTGTTTGCAATCTTTTATTTCCCACCCCACCCCACCCCACCCCACCTCAGTCTAAATCTAATGAAGAATCGGGGGATTCACAGCAGCCAAGCCAGCCTTCCCAGCAGCCTTCAGTGCAGGCAGCCATTCCCCAAACGCAGCTTATGCTAGCTGGAGGACAGATAACTGGGGTAAGTGTTCACTGAGAGAATTATAATAAACTTTGTCTGTGTCAGAACTGCCATTGGCCAATGTCTGATTAGAATTGTTCACCGTAGCTGGCAGTAACATGGCTGTGCCTGGCACTATTGTGTCTTTAAGGAACTTCCTACACTGTAGGTAGTAAGTTGCTCTAAAAAAGGAATTATCTTTTTTGTAAGTTTTCAGGATACTTTTTATGAGAATTGTGGATGCTTTGGATAAATTAAAAACTTTATTAAACTCCCGTTTCAGGTGTTGCTTCATCATGCAATGGAATAATTATCCTATAGCTGAGATGATCAAACTGATAAAATGGCAGTTGTCCGTTTGGCATTAAGACATCACTGCAGGGTAGAAGTTAAAGAATGGATTAGGCCTGCAAAAGAAAAACATTTTTCTTTAAGTTACTGTGTAGTAGTCTAAAATAAAACGTGGTGGCTTCATGTCCTAGCTCTGCAACTTACCGTATGACCCAATTACTTTATTGCCCTCTACCTCAGTTTTCCTTGTGTTAAATGGCGATGCTAATAATACCGTTACTGGTGTAAAGATTGGAGATAATACATACAAAGCTTATAGAACAGTGCTTGGCATGTAGTGTTCAACAAATGTTCTTTTTTTTGAGATGGAATTTCTCTCTTGTTGCCCAGGCTGGAGTGCAATGGCGCAATCTCAGCTCACTGCAACCTCCACCTCCCGGGTTCAAAGTGATTCTTCTCCCTTAGCCTACCAAGTAGCTGTGATTACAGGCACTCACCACCATACCCGGCTAATTTTGTATTTTAATAGAGACGAGGTTTCTCCATGTTGATCAGGCTGGTCTCCAACTCCTGACATCAGGTGATCTGCCCACCTAGGCCTCCCTAAGTGCTGGGATTATAGATGTGAGCCATCGTACCCAGTGGCTTATACTTTATTTTAAATACTTGATCTTAACCAAAAGACTGAGAAGGTCTGTCATTTATTTTTTATTGTTAATAAATTGGCCTGTGTGACTGTATTAAGCTTTTAAATTTTCAGCTGTCTTTTCTCTAAGGCACTATTCACAATATTTTTCCAATGTTTAAAATTTGTACATTAAATTATCTTTGTGGGGCTTGGTTTAGGACAGGCGTCCCCAAACTACGGCCTGCGGGCTGCATGCAGCCCCCTGAGGCCATTTATCCGGCCCCTCGCCACACTTCAGGAAGGGGCACCTCTTTCATTGGTGGTCAGTGAGAGGAGCACAGTATGTGGCGGCCCTCCATCGGTCTGAGGGACAGTGAACTGGCCCCCTGTGTAAAAAGTTTGGGGACGCCTGGTTTAGGACAATATAAGAGATAGTTATTATTCAATTCACATCACATTAACTCCCAAGAATTTTCTGGGTATGTTGTTGCTTTGTTTGTTTTCATTTCAGTTAAGTGTGTTTTGTCAGTGGACAACTATTTTAAGAACTGTTGCAAACTTATTTACAAAATCTCATCAGTAGAGATGTATGTATATACATGTATATTATATAAAAATTTAAAAATGTATCTATACATTATAGACACACATATCCCTTGAAAGGGTATTGAGTTTTTGAAGGGTTTGGTTTAGAGCCTGATGTTTCTAATGCACAAATTGTGTTCAATTCTTTTGGAGGAGGTTGGGGCACTAAGTGACTGTACATATACTTCAGAAGATTACAGTTCCATCTTGTTTGATCAATCAGAATATGTCACCAAAAGAAAAGTAGAGCACACTTACTGCTTTTATTTAAGTGTGTTTAAAATAAGTTGCATTATGAAAGCAAGTTTACATATGCTGTAAATACATCTACTTTACTATTTTAGGTCTTGATTTTGGTGACTAGTGTCTACAATAGTAGGAGGCACTTGGGATTCTAGGTTCCTGTGCCTGGAACTTCTATTAAACCTGGGCATTAGGGTTCATTTGCATGTAAAGAGAGCGGCAATCACCACCTGTTTCACAGAGATAATGTGTTGGAAAGGAGATGTAAAGTTGCAGAGACTCAGTGCTTTCAATAACAGAAAAGATTGTGTTAGGGAGGGGCCTATAGGGAGACTTGGAAAAGAAACAAATGGAGCTCATATTCTTTAGTGTTATCTTTGGACATAATGGAAATGATGGAATATGGCAGGGATTCATGCTAATGGGAAGCAGCTGGGCCTTATCAGTTCTTTCCTTGGTTATATCCAGCATCCTTGTTCTTCATTCATCTGACTAATCACTTGCTGTTTTGTTGGGTGTAAATTTCTTTTCATATCCTGTCAGCAGTGATTTTTTTTTTTTTCTTACTTACTAGTTAATTACTTTTTTTGCCCTAACGGTAGGGCCCTGGACAAGCTTGAATGATTAAGTCCAGACTGGGGAACCACCATTTTAATTTAAATGTTCTGCTAGTAATGGTAGTCTGATCACTGATGAACATTTTAACTGTATGCTAAGCATGTGAAGTTGGGTAGCTGGGGACTAATACCGTTTGAGTTACCTATTTCAAAGCCGTTGGCTTGCATTAGGAGACTTTCTCCTTCAACCCTTTCCCATTATGTGTTCTGATTTTGTTTAGCTTACTTTGACGCCCGCCCAGCAACAGTTACTACTCCAGCAGGCACAGGCACAGGCACAGCTGCTGGCCGCTGCAGTGCAGCAGCACTCCGCCAGCCAGCAGCATAGCGCTGCTGGGGCTACCATCTCCGCCTCTGCTGCCACACCCATGACGCAGATCCCCCTGTCTCAGCCCATACAGATCGCACAGGTGAGTGAGGAACTCTAGTAGCTGGGGCAGCAAGTGAGGAATAAAGTGACAGGTTTTATGTAATGTTAAATTAACTTTTTGATTGTTAGTGTGGGGCCTTAAAGGCCTGAGGAGCTCTAGATCAGTGAGGTAAGCAGTACCCTTCCTTACCACTGAATTAGAAATAATGTTTGTTTGCGTATTTGAGTTGATATTTTAAACATATAGCTGATTATTTGGATAACTGACTGTATTAAGGGACAATTCTTGAATAATTAGCTGGCATATTTTTGAAGCAGGGGATTACTGTATTTATTTTAATTAGCTAATTACAGCAGACATGGATTTTTTTTTATGTGCTCTGCAATGAATGTTGCCACCCATGTGTGAGAAAGACAGTGAGTCATCTCTGCTTCGGAGTGATTAGCATTATGCCAAACATTATTACATTACAATGTTGTTTGGATTCAGTTTTCACATTTTAGGTCAAAGTATCTAGAGATAATAAAAATTTATTTAAGAAGCATACACAGTAATACCAAGGAGGAAAATAAATAAAATCCTTTATTTCAAGAAGAGGAAAAGGTATAAGTAGTTATATCAGTAAAATATGTGAAGAGTTATGAGTCAAATTGTTTGACAGCTGTCTTTATCCCCCTCAGAAAAGACTCAGAAGTGGACTTGTAGCAAGTTTTATTACCTATTTAAAAAGAACTAATTAACTGTAAGAGTATAGAATAGATATCAATCTTTATTATATATAATCTTTATCTTTAAAGATTATATATATATGAATATATATTATATAACATATTTATATATTATAAACATGTTATATATTTATAATATATAATATACACATATATATTTATATATATAAATATATATTTTTATATATAAATATAATCTTTAATAAAAGATTATATTTTTATTTTGGCCACTTTCTCATCACCAAATAAAATATTTTTACTGCCTAAGCTGTGAGACTGTATGTTAACATTAGTCTAAATAAGATAACATGCATGAAAACACTTTGAAAATTATAAAACAATAGGCCAATGTAAGGTGCTGTTGTTATTATGAATCACATTTTTATTTGGATAGCTATTTTTTGTTTTACAAAATTGAATGCTTTAGAACATGTGGAAAAGGGCAAAAAAATTGAATACCGATTTCTCAGTTGAGTTTGATAAGCTGTTGTCAAATGTCAAATCATTATAGGTCCTTTATTGATGGAAATTCAGATATAACACTGTCAATTTTAAGAGAAAAATCAAATATTTTAAAAGCCTTTTCTCTATTGATTTTAAGACCCATATTGGTCTCTATGTGATAAAAAACAGAAGTATATTTGTTCTGAGGGAATTTTAAAGAATCATTGAAAATTAGGCTTAGTATAATAATATATGTCAGTCCACAAAAATAGTAAGTTACAGAAGCTCCAGGTTCTTCACATGCTGTGTCAAGCACACACAGAGCATGTCCTGTTTGGAATATGAAAGCGTGCTAAGTAAGTATTTATTCTTCTTTGTTTGTACGTGATAGAATTCATCAGCTGGAAGCCTTATAATTAAGCAAACTTTTATTTCAGAATCTCCAATCCATGTTTTAATTTCTATTTTTCAGGATCTTCAACAACTGCAACAGCTTCAACAGCAGAATCTCAACCTGCAACAGTTTGTGTTGGTGCATCCAACCACCAATTTGCAGCCAGCGCAGTTTATCATCTCACAGACGCCCCAGGGCCAGCAGGGTAAGCTCTTCCTTAGAGCTTATTAGTAGTACACCAAAGCTGTTCACTAGTGTGACACATGCATGGATTGCTATCATTTTGGGCCTGAAACTGTCTGTTAGAACAATATTTTAATTGTATTTTATTTTATTATAAACTTTTGTTTAAAAAAATTTTTTTTGTTGTTATAAATACCATATTATTGAAGGTTGCCCTGAACTGCCATTCATCTGGTTAATCATTAAGGAAGATTCAAGAGTTTGGCCAAAATTCAAAGTGAAATTATTCAACATGCTAAACATAAATTGGATAAGTTGCTGCTAGTGTTTTGATTGGTTTTCATGGAAATGTGTTCAAAGAATCTAGACTGTTGAAAGTATGTGCTTCTAGCCATTGTGTTTTAAATTTAAGGAGGAAATAATTTTATATTAGAAACTACAAATTTTGTGAGTTATGCAAAACATCTTTGAGTCCTTTGAGTGGTAAATATTATATAATTAATGTATCAAGCCACTCGTGTGTAAGGTCGGTGTCAGAGTATCAGTGCTTCAACCCAAGGAACATTAGTGCATCTCTACCGATTCTTTATTATTTCTGGGTGGGGTTTTTGCCTGTTTTCTTCTTGATCATTAGTTCCAAAATCTTTCACCATGAAATAATTATTCTAGCATATGTTCAAGATTCAAAGATGAGTAATTCAGTTTTTACCTGCAGAGAGCTCACAATTTAGTGGCAGGGAAACAGACCTATTATAAGTGTTAGACTTGATATGCACAGATTGCTATGGGAACCAAGCAAAGAGACCCCTGTACCTTTGTGTTCAGATAAGTCTTCACAGTGAATTTGGGAGAATGCATTCATAGTCTTACAAAAGAGAGAATGTCAGTTGTGGAAAATGAACAGCATTTGCAAAGCTTAGAAACATGGAAGAAAAATCAATAAACTGTGTTTGAGAACTATAAGTAGTGCCTTACAACTGCAGAATAAGTTTGCACATACAGGTAATAGTGAAATTTGAGCCCAGAAAGATTAGCAGAGACCAGATCATTAAAGAACCTTAGATTAAGTTTCCAGATTTTGACCTTAACTCCTGTAGCTTAATGCTTCCTAAGATTTGATTTATTTAAGAATCACTTAAGGAATTAGGAAAGTTTCCTGAGCCCTAACCCCAAACCACCCCCCTCCATTATTTTTATTTTTATTTTCGAACATTTAGGTTCAGGGTTACACGTGCAGGTTTGTTGTGCAGATAAATTAAATGTCATAGGGATTTGGTGTACGGATAGTTTCATCATTCAGGTAATAAGCATAATACCTGATAGGTAGCTTTTTCATCCTCACCCTCCTCCCACCCTCTACCCTCAAGCAGGCCCTGGTGGCTATTGTTCCCTTCTTTGTGTCCATATGTACACGAGGTTTTATGGTGGCATAGTATTTATTCCCTTATATATATATACTACATTTTTTAAATCCAGTCTACTGTCGATGGACATTTAGGTTAATTCCATGTCTTTGCTATTGTGAGTAGTGCTGCAGTGAACATACACATGGGTATGTGTCTTTATGGTTAAAAAATTTATATTTGTTCTGATATATACCCAATAATGGGATTGCTGTATCAAATGATAATTCTCCGTTCTTTGAGAAATGGCCAAACTACTTTCCATAATGGCTTGACTAATTTACATTTCCACTAGTAGTGTATAAGCAGTCACTTTTCTCCACAACCTCACCAACATCTGTTATTTTTTTAGAGGTTTTTTTTTTTTTTTTTTTTTTTTTTTTTTTTTTTTTGTGAGAGAGAGTTTTTTGCTCTTGTTGCCCAGGTTGCAGTACAGTGGTGTGATCTTGGCTCACCGTAACCTCTGCTTCCTAGGTTCAAGTGAGTCTCCTGCCTGAGCTTCCCAAGTAGCTGGGATTACAGGCATGAACCACCACACCCATCTAATTTTGCATTTTTAGTCGAGACAGGGTTTCTCCATGTTGGTCAGTCTGGTCTTGGCCTCCCAGAGTGCTGGGATTACTGCTGTGAGCCACCACTCCTGACCTTGAGTTTTTAATAATAGCCATTCTGACTGGTGTGAGATGGTATTTCATTGTTGTTTTGATTTGCATTTCTCTAATGATTAGTGGTATTGAGCATTTTTTCATGTACTTGTTGGCTGCATGTATGTATTCTTTTGAAAAGTGTCTGTTCCTGTCCTTTGCCCCACTTGCTAATGGAGTTGGTTTTTTTTGTAAATTTGTTTAAGTTCCTTACAGATTCTGGATATTAGACCTTTGTTGAATGCGTAGTTTGCAAATATTTTCTCCCATTCTGTAGGTAGTTTCTTTTGCTGTGCAGAAGCTCTTCAGTTTAATTAGATCCCATTTGTTAACTTTTGTTTTTGGTGCATTGCTTTTGGTGTCTTCATCATGAAATCTTTGCCAGGTCCTATGTCCCGAATGGTATTTCCTAGGTTATTTTCCAGAGTTTTTATAGTTTGAGATTTCATACTTAAGTCTTTAATCCATCCTGAGTTGATTTTTGTATTGATGTAAGGAAGTGGTTCAGTTTCAGTCTTTTGCATATGACCTGCCCGTTATCCCAGCACCATTTATTAAATACAGAGTCCTTTCCCCATTGCTTTTTTCTACCTTATTGAAGATCAGATGCCAACCGCGAACTTTTAATGAACACTTTGTTGATTTTTTTTTTTATGATTATTTTTTGAGACAGAGTCTTGCTCTGTCACCCAGGCTGGAATGCAGTGGCACGATCATGGCTCACTGCAGCCTCAACCTCTTGGAATCAAGCAGTCCTCCCGCCTTAGCCTTCAAAGTAGCTGGGACTACAGTGTGTACCACTGTACTTGGCTAATTTAAAAAAGAAAAAATGTTTTTTGTAGAGACACCATCTTGCTATGGTTGCCCAATTTGGTCTTGAATTCCTGGGCTCAAGTGATCCTCTTGCATCAGCCTCCCAAAGTGCTGGGATTATAGGCATGAGCCACTGAACCCAGACTCACTTTGAGGAGTCTAATGTGAATGGCCCAATATCTTCCAATAAGAAAGTCTTCTGTAAACTCTACTAAAGATTTTTTTTTTTATTTTAAAGATGGGGTTTCACTGTATTGATCAGGCTGGTCTAGAACCCCGGACCTCAGGTGATCCGCCCACCTTGGCCTCCAAAGTGCTTGGATTACAGGCATGAGCCACCGCACCTGGCCTAAACCACAGATTTAAGCAGAAAAGTGCATTTCCAAGTTTGTATTTAATAAAGTTCGTGTTGAAACTTGTGTAGAAAAAGTTGGTAAATAAGTAGGTAGATGGACAGGACCTGGTGGCCAATTTTATTTGATTAATAATAAGAAAGAGATATCTAGGTATAATGCCTAGGTTTTTAGGGAACTATGAGGGTTGATAGGATCAAACAGAGAAAATATATATGTAATATTAGAAGAGCCTTGGTGAAACCAACCCTTTAGGTATAGAGGAATAAGTAGATTCAGAAGATACTACATTTTCAGAAGTCAAAAACTAGTGGAGAGTGGTAATCACAATGGAAGAAAATTCCAAGAGGGAAGGAGTAAGTGACCTAGATCAGAAGGACTTAGGAAGGTCAATACTAAGTCTGTTTATTGGATTTGTTAATTGTTAAAGCCTTAAGATTGAATGAGATTGCTTTCATTACTTTCAGCAAAGCCAAGGGCGTTGTCTTTCCTTTTTCAAATCTGGGACCTCGTTTTATTTCTATTTTTTTTGTTTCAAATTAAGATAGTAGGAATAATGAATGACTTTTCATTATGATTTTTTGGTATTTGCAAAGGTATGTGTATGTTTTTAAGCCCTCCCCCAACTTTCAGACTTTTTTATAAGACTGGGAAAATAACACAGATAATGTAATACTGATTGGCCTTAGAGCCAGTGACCCTGGGCAGTTCACCTAACTTTTCTGAAGGGGAAGATAAAAAGGGAAATACGTGAAACTCAGAAAAGTTAGGTGAACTGCCCAGGGTCACTGGCTCTAAGGCCAATCAGTATTACATTATCTGTGTGAATTACAAAAAAAATGTTTTACTACCCTAACCTCAGGAAGGTCATTGTAATGTAGTAGTTATGAGCATGGACTTTAAAGCCGAACTACCTCTTTATGAACCTTGGCTCTGCCACTTACCTGTGTGTCTTTGGGAAAATTAACTTTCTGAGCCCCTGTTTCCTAATCTGTTGTATGAGTTACTTTCAGTATTCACCTCAAAGAGTTGTAAGGATTCAATGAGTAAACACATGTAAAGCACATTTTAGAAAGGTCCTCATACATAGTAACCTCTCTAAATCTTTGCTGCTGTTATCATTATGACGTGATTGTGATATCGTATCAGTGTTGTCAGTCAACAAATGATTGATAACTCAGAAAACGAAAAGGTTGTTCCTTTATATAGTTTCCAATAGAATCACTTTGTACCACTGCTGCTGAGTTGTAATCATTTGTTAGTCATATATGACCTGGATTCCATCTTCCAAGATTATTCAACAATGTAGAGGATCAGAGTAGTAGAAATAAGTCTAACATCTATAAACATTTCTAGGAGTGGAATTCATTGTAATAAATTGCATCAGAGAAGCTGAAAATCTAAAGAACTAATCTCTTTACGATGGATGACAAAGATTTGATCTTTTGGAATTTTAGTAATGTTTCCAGCATGAGATTAGCCTTCAATATTAATTTCTTTTTTCTTTTTCTTTTCTTTTCTTTTTTTTTTTTTTTTTTTTTTTGAGACAGTCTTGCCCTGTCGCCCAGGCTGGAGTGCAGTGGTACAGCCTTGGCTCACTGCAACCTCCACCTCCTCGGTTCGAGTGATCCTCCTGCCTCAGCCTCCCGAGTAGCTGGGACTACAAGCGCGTTCCACCATGCCTGGCTAATTTTTTGTGTATTTAGTAGAGACAGGGTTTCACTATGGTTAGCTGGGATGGTCTGTATCTCCTGACCTGATGATCTGCCCACCTCAGCCTCCCAAAGTGCTGGGATTGCCACCAAACCCCACCAACCATGATTTTTTTTTTTTTTTTTTTTTTTTTTTTGGAGACGGAGTTTCACTCTTGTTACCCAGGCTGGAGTGCAATGGCGCGATCTCGGCTCACCGCAACCTCCGCCTCCTGGGTTCAAGCAATTCTCCTGCCTCAGCCTCTTGAGTAGCTGGGATTACAGGCACACACCACCATGCCCAGCTAATTTTTTGTATTTTTTTTTAGTAGAGACGGGGTTTCACCTTGTTGACCAGGATGGTCTCGATCTCTCGACCTCGTGATCCACCCGCCTCGGCCTCCCAAAGTGCTGGGATTACAGGCTTGAGCCACCGCGCCCGGCAGCATGGTTTTTAAAAAAAGTTCTAAACCTCTTTGGACCCTTTCAGCCTTTTCAGCTGACCTTGTTTTGGGGTAAAACCTAAGGTTTGAATTTGGTCATGTAATACACTACAAGAAACCAAAATTAATCTTAGAATTATAATTGCTGATTAATAGGAATCAGAATCATTTTTTAAATAACCTGTTTTTGTCTCTTACAGATGAACTAACTTTCATTGTTAAACTTTAAAGAAACTGCTATGTTGAAATAGCCAATGTTTAATAGTGGGACCTCATTTCTGATCTTTCTGCTCCTCACTTCTCTTTCTTTCTTTTTTTTTTTTTTGAGACAGAGTCTCATTTTCTCATCCAGGCTGTAGTGCAGTGGCATGATCTTGTCTCACCACAACCTCCACCTCCCTGGTTCAGGCAATTCTTTTGCCTCAGCCTCTCAAGTAACTGAGATAACAGGTGTGTGCCATCACACCTGGCTGATTTTTGTATTTTTAGTAGAGGTGGGGTTTCACCATGTTAGCCAGGCTGGTCTTGAACTCCTGAACTCAAGCAATCTTTCTGCTTCAGCCTACCAAAGTGCTGGGATTACAGGCATGAGCCACTGCACTTGACCTTCTCTTCCATTTTTTTATTACTGTTTTTGAATATTCTTGAGTCCTTAGCCTTTTCAAAATAATTTTATTAGTTTTAATCATTAACGTAAAATATACTTGTATTTTTCTCTCTAGACTACCCTTCAGTATTTTTCAAACCAGTAAAATTTGATATTTTAATTAATTCACTCAAAAATTATTTGAGTGCCTACTGTTTCATATAGTGCTCTAACAGGGATATATTTTGAACAAGATGTAGGCCCTGCCCTCATTAAGAGGCATCGAATAGTAAATATTTAAACAAGTGGTTTAGATACCAATAAGTACTAAGCAGTTTAGCAGATCATCGTAATCTGGTAACAGCCTAAAAGAACGGGCCTATAGTCTGGAAAAGCCTCTCTGGAGAAGCAATATGTGAATTGGGAACTGAGGGATGAGAGGCAGGTTACCATACCTAGAATCTGAGCTAAGAGTCTTGTAGGCAAAGGAACGTAAAATACCTGAGGTGGGAACAAGCTTGACCTAATCTGGGAAAAGAAAAGCCGAAGTAGCTGAGTTCAGTGAGTCAGAGGAAGTGGTAGGAGATGAGATACGAGAGCTAGACAGGGCCAGATTGCCTAGGGCTGTGTAGATTTTATTCTAATTCTAATATAATTGGGAAATGATATAATCATAAAGATCACCCTAACTATCATATGGAGATTGAACTTTAGGGAGACACTTGGGGAGGCCAACTTCCATAAATTGGCCTTTTAAGAAATGTTTGTAGTAATATATACTGAATTTTATTTAATCATATTTGCTTCCATATATATTTCACTTGCCTCAGATCAACTAAAGTCAGAGTTCTCTAGAAAAATTCAAATCTATTTAATATATTTATCTTATTTGTGACCTATGTTATGAAATAACTTGTTAGTACCTTTTGATAGCTTAAAATTAGGCAGTGCTTAGTTACTTAAATGATAAATTCTATGGCTAATCTCTGGTAGGCTTAAGTGTTTTGGCTGTTGTCCTACATATTCCAACATCCAATGTATCCAAACTTAGTAACCTAAGGAAATCATAATTAGGAAGCTGTTGCCTCAGATAATCTTATCAGTTGTCCAAAAGAAAATGGTAAAATCCCTTTTGTTTGGTGTGCTTTGTTTAATACTTTCTACAAGTGCTCGTATCACAGCATACGTAATCCTGTATTTAGTATTTTAGCAACAGCATTTTATCTGTAACTAGGTACTATAGATTAAATTTTTAAATGTAGACAATCTGAGTTAGTCCTCTCCATCAGGTTCTGAAAATTAAAAACCATATATTCAAGTAATTGAGCATCTCCTACAAACACATTGAGAATTTGCATTTCTACTTTGAATGTCAGTTGTCATCATGAAGCATTGGTGGCATTACTTGTCAATTATTTTAAACTAAGACAGTTCAGTGTTACTGCACATATTAGTAGAATATTTTGCATTTCAACTTTATTATTACCAGTAGGCAAATGTTTGATACAGAGAACTTTAAAAATGCCTTTTTTCCTCTGGTTCAACATATCCTGGCAGTTTCTAATGGATTCTAGGTTAAGAAGTTGAGCTCTTTTTGGAATTTCCAGCTGTTTCTATTTAGAATCATTTTTTGGTTTCTTTTTTTTTTTTTTTTTACTTTCATCTCACTCTTCCCTAACTTAAAGAATTGACCTATCACAGAGCTTATTCAGATTATGCTAAAGACATACCAGTTTTAATTTAATGTTCTGCGTCTTCTCTCTCAAGTTGTAAAACAAGATTGACTGTAAGGCAAATAAAATCAGCAAGAGTTTTGATACAAGTAAGACTACCAGGGATCAACTGGAAATTTTCAGCTCATTTTCTTACTCTTTCCCTCTTTTGCCACGTGTTCAAAGAAATCTGTACTGTTTCTGGCATAACATGTTTTCCTTCTATAGGTCTCCTGCAAGCGCAAAATCTTTTAACACAACTACCTCAGCAAAGCCAAGCCAACCTCCTACAGTCGCAGCCAAGCATCACCCTCACATCCCAGGTCAGTTTTCTTCTATGAGGGTTGCTTCCTCTAATCATATTGTTTGGGGAGACTTTTGGACTTTATTTAATGTTTTTTAAAAATCTAATAAAAATAATTCAGTCTTCAAAAATTGACCAGAAAATCAAAGCTAGGCTTATCAGCTCAATAAAGCAATGCTACCAAATCAATATAGTCTTTGAAAATCTTCAGAGTTCTGTTTTCTTATATGTTCATAAAGAGTAACTGTGTTAGCAGTAAATGAGTAATGAGTTGTAGCTATGTGACACCTCCCCTCATCATACTTGGCAGTAGATATTACCACTTAAACTGGAAACCTAGTTAGCTTCAGTTATAATCCATTGTTACCCTTATCTGCAAAGAAATTTTGATCTCTAGGTTTTCTTTTTTCTCCTTGCTTTGATGTTGCTTTAGCTCATTTCCACTAGACCATATAAACACTATAATTACATAAAAACAATCTTAGGCACCTGAGGTTTAAGTTTTAGTTCTGCTTCTTATGTAGCTGTTGCTTTGAACATGTCGTTTTACCTCTCTGGACCTCAGTCGTCTTATCTGTAGATTAGGTGACTGAACTGGCTGATCCTGAATCTCCTTCCAGCTCTGACTTTCTTTGTCTGCAGTATGGAAGTTATTACTTAATACTAACACATTATCGATTTGACAGAATTCAACATCCATTTATGATAAAAACTCTTGGAAACTAGATATAGAAGGTAACTTTCTCAACCTGGTAAAGAGCATGTACCAAAAAAAAAAAAAATCCAACATCATGCCTAATGAAAACATGAATACTTTCCCTCTAAGATCATAAACAAGGCAAAATGACCAGTTGCCACTTTTATTCCACATTATACTGAAGGTGCTAGTAATGCAATAAAATAAGAAAGTGAAATATTAATAAATGACGTATAGATTAGAAAGGAAGAAGAAAAACTATCTTTGTTGCTAGATGACGTGATTATCTGTCTATGCAGAAAATCCTAAGGAATCTACCAAGAAATCAAGCTACTGGAATAAGTAACTTTAGCAACTGTGTTATAGTCAATATATAAAAATCATTTACATTTCTTTATACTAGCAGTAAGCATTTGGAAATTGAAATTAAGAAAAAGAAATTTACAGTACTTAGGGATAAACTTAACAAAATATTTGTAAGGCCTATACATTGAAAACTAAAACATTGCTGCATAAAATTAAGGACTTGTGAAATAGAAAGCTGTAATATGTTCATAAATCAAAGACTTAAGTTGTTAAAAGTGTCGGTTTTTCCCAAATTGATCTCTAGATTCAACACAGTCTAAACCAGTATCTAGCAGGCTTTTTTTGTAGAAATTTGCATACTGTTTCTAACCTTTATATGGAGCTGTAAGAAAACAGAATAACCAAACAATTTTGAAAAGTAAGAAAGTTGAAGGACTACCTGATATCAAGAATAATTATAAAACTCCAGTAATGAAGACAGTGTAATACTGGCATATGGATAGAACTAGAGATCAGTGGAACAGAATAGAAGGTCCAAGACCCATGTGTACATGGCCAACTGATTTGCCAAAGGTGCCAAAGGATTTCAGTGGGAAAAAGAAAGTTATTTCAAAAAATGCTGCTGAAACAATAGAAAAAAAAAAAATCTTGACTATTATTTCACACCATATATAAAGATTTGTTTGATCGATCATAGACCTAAACTTAGAGAAACAGCTTAGGTAAAAATCTTTGTGTCCTTGGGCGAGGCACAGATTTCTTAAATAAGACACAAAAAGCACCATAAAAGAAAAACAGTTGATAAATTTAATTTCATAAAAATAAAAGCTTCTGTTCAAGTGAATGAAAAGAAAACCACAGACGGGGAGAACATATTTTTATGCAATGTATCTGATAAAAAGAGTTGTATTCAAAATTTCTAAAGAACTCATAAAACTCAGTAAGACAATCTGATTTAAGGGAATGACTGGCAAAAGAGTTGGGGATACTTCACCAAAGAAGATATGTAAATGTCCAACAGGCATATGAAAAGATGCTCAAAAACCATTAGTCGTCAGGAAAATTTAAATGAAATATCACTACACACTCACTAGAATAAGCAGAATTAAAAAGGCTATGACAAAACCAAGTGTTGGTAAGAAGGTAAAGCAACTAGAGTTCTCATATATTGCTTAGTGGTGTTGTAAAATGGTACACACACTTTGGAAATTATTTTGTCAGTTTTTTTGGAGGAGTGATGGGGAGGCAAGATCTCGCTCTGTCATCCAGGCTGGAGTACAGTGGCACAATCACAGCCCACTCTAGCAGTCTTGACCTCCCAATCTCAAACGATTCTCCTGCATCAGCCTTCCGAGTAGCTGGGACTACAAGTGTGCACTATCTTGCCCAGCTAATTTCGCCATGTTGCCTAGGCTGGTCTCGAACTCCTGGGCTCAAGTGATCTGCCCATCTTGGCCTCCCAAAGTGTTGAGATGACAGGCGTGAGCCACCACACCAGGTTGGCTGTTTCTTGTGTACCTTGTGACCCAGCAGTTTTATTCCAAGAAATGAAAGCATATGTCCACACAAAGACTTGTATGTGAATGTTTATAGCAGCTTTATTCACCTCAGATTGGAAACAACCTAAATACACATCAGCTGGTGAATAGGTAACATAAGCTTTAGCATATCCATATGATGGAATGCTACTTAGCAGTAAAAAGAAACATGCTTCTCTGATACATGCATCTCCTATGAATCTCAAAAGCATTATACTAAATGAAAAAAGACATAAAAGAGTGCATATAGTATGATTCAATGCACATGGCATTTTAGGAAAGAGAAAACTGTAGGAATGGAAAACATATTAGTGATTGCCAGGCACAGGGGGCTAATGGTGGGGATTAACTGCAAAGGGCACAAGGGAACTTTGGGGAGTAATGAGAATGTTCTGTATTTTAATTGCAGTAGCGGTTGTATGACGGTATATAGTTGCCAGAACATAAACTGTGCCCTTTTAAATGGTGAATTTGTGAATATGCTGAATGCAAGAGTGAGGTTGGGGTTTTGAAAAAGGTCTGTACCAGACATTACTCCTTGGCCTGCATGCTCTGCATACGGTGGCAGGGCTATTGCGGCTTCATCCTGACTCCTGCTCACTGAATTCTACTCTGCCATTTCTAGATCTGGCCCAGTCCAGCCTGAGGTTTCTGGAGTTGGGGTAACTTATCTGTAACCACTCCATCTAAAGGTACCCAAGCTATTTTTAGTCCTTTATTATTTGAGAATGGGGCTACTTCAAGCCTGGAGATGAAGTAACAATATGATAGTTAAGAGTCACCTCTACCTGTCAAGCAGTTGTGCTGTGAGAAGTGTACAGCCACATAGTCTAGTATGGTTGGTGCTGGTTTTGGGTCCTCCAAAATGGTCAGGTTGAATATTATGCAGTGTCAGCATGACATAGAAATGAACTTTGTTGTTGTCATTGAAACAGGATGATAAGAGAGGAACTTAACTCCAGTTGTTGCCTATATAATGCTTATTCTGTAGTTTTCTGGGCCAGTGAGTTGCTTTGGAGGAAGCCTTGACTCACAAGGTAAAGCTCATCTAAATTAGAAGAAAAATTCACAGCCACAGACTCTGTCTGTAATCCTGGTTTATAATCGCTCACCTGGGCTACTGTTCACAGGAGGGATCAGCTGAGCAATTAAGATGCAGTCAGGGAGCACCTTCTGCTAGTGAGGTGTGTTCCACTCAGGGCTTGTGAATAGAATAGAATAACCTTATGTTTGTGTGATAAGAAAATTGAGTATTTTATTTTTAAAAAGACTATATTCTTATGTCCAAAAATAAATTATACATGGATTTAAATATTCAACAATACATAGAAGCAGCTAGCAGATTAAAATGAATTTTATCAGTGTTAGAAATAAATGAAGCTTTCTCAGGTTTGAAGTAATGGAATATATTAGAAAGGAAAATTAAAAGCTCACCCAAATGATAATTTAAAGCTTTATGTACACTGAAAAATAAAAGGAAAAAAGCAAATTGGGAAAAGGACTTGCATTAATATGACAAAGCTTACTCTATAAAATTTGAGGATCTCTCTAAGGATAAGGATGAGAATAAGGGCATCATTAATATATAAATAGGTTAAGGACATAAATCCAAATCACATCCAGGGAAATACAAGTAATAATTGACACATAAGAAAATTTTGACATTGAGTAGTAAGAGAAATACAAATTAAGGCATCAGGAAACTACCGTTTACTTCTTGAATTAGCAAAACATTTTTTTAAACTGCTAACACAAGCCATGTGGAAGAGTGTTGCAGAGTGGAAACCAACATTATAATATCAAAAGCCATGAAATTGTTTATCTAGTTACCCAAAAAGCCCTTGAGAATTTATCTCAAAAGAACTAGTTACGCACATAGGTGGAAAAGATAACTAATGTGCATAAAGTTTTTCATTGTGTTATTATCTATGTGAAAACATAAATGAAAAACTGTTATAAGAATATTGCCTTAGTTTTTTAAAAGGATAATTATGATGACTGAAATACCATAGAAAAAAATTAAAAAACAATGTTAAGTGAGACAAGCAGAGTAAAGTTATGTACACCATAATTATAGTAAAAGGTTTAAAAATGTAGGTCCTTGGGGAACAAACTTGAAGAGATAAACAAAAGTGAAACCCGTTATAAGCTATTTAAACTACAGGTGGTTTACTTTTCCCCTTAAAATAGTTTTAATGATCTTGAATACTATTTTTATAATACTGTGTCACAGGTTGGAGATGTGATAGTGGTAAACAAGACGGGCTCTCTACTGTTTTGACAGTTTAAGTGCCAGATTTATGAAATAGATTTTCTGAAATAAAGAGTAATTTATTAAAAGACATAAGATATAGGTATTCAGACCATTTGAAAACCCAGTTACAATAGATTTTATTTTTGTATATTCATGTTTTCTTCTATAGAATGACACGCTTAATCTTGTAATTACAGTATACATAATTTCACTGTCTGCTTTGCTCACTGAACTGTTGTACATTCTGTAGTGTTACATGGTCTTCATAGTTCTCCATGAATATGGCTATTTCCTTAAGTTGTTTAGTTGGAGTGAACCTAAATATCTCTTCACATGTTTGTCCTCATCGTTTTATTCTTTCTCCCACAGCCAGCAACCCCAACACGCACAATAGCAGCAACCCCAATTCAGACACTTCCACAGAGCCAGTCAACACCAAAGCGAATTGATACTCCCAGCTTGGAGGAGCCCAGTGACCTTGAGGAGCTTGAGCAGTTTGCCAAGACCTTCAAACAAAGACGAATCAAACTTGGATTCACTCAGGTAGGGTGAATTGTCCTTACATTGATTGCCCTCCTTGGCTGGGTTCAAATACAGTTGGCCGGCTATATTCATGGAGTTCACATCTGTGGATTCAACCAATCCAAAATATTTGGGATAAGGGGTGCCAAAAAGGATGGTCATGTTTGTACTGAACTTGTATAGACTTTTTTCCTTGCTATTATTTCCTAAACAATACAACGATTTATATAGCATTTATATTACATTAAGTGTCATAGGTAACTTGGAGATGATTTAAAGTATATGGAAAGGATACACGTATGTTAAATACAAATATGCACTTTATAATTTCAAGGACTTGAGCATCAGTGGATTCTGGTATCCAAGGGAGGTCCCAAAACCAATCCCCTGTGCATGCCGAGGGACAACTGTATTTGCTTTATATGTCCAAAGAGGCTTCTAAGGAACACTATGTTCCTCAGCCATGAGGAATATATTTTTGGTTTTAAACTGTGCCTTTTTGTTAGCCTTTTCCTGCATTTTTAACATATGGTTTAATGTTAGTCTAGAAGCTTTATGGTTCCTTTCAGAACACAGGCCTCTGAAATCATAATACATTAGTAAATTGTGAGAGTTTAAGAGATTGTGTTGGAGATATTTTGACTGTACTGAGGATTTTGTTATTTGAAGAATATCTGGCCGTAGACCTTAGTGCTACATAGGTAAGATTGAGAGAGTAAGGATTACAGGGTGTATTATAGTATCTAAAAGGGGAAACGCTTAGAAGGGTTGTTTAAAAATAGTTTATTGTGGTAGATTGCAGTGGCTCACATCTATAATCCCAGCACTTTGGGAGGCTGAGGTGGGAGGATTGCTTGAGCCCAGGAATTGGAGACCAGCCTGGCCTCTAGTGAGACCCTGTCTCTACAAAAAGTAAGTAAATAAAAAATTTAACTGTAGTCCAAGCTATCAGGAGGCTGAGGTGGGAGGATTGCTTGAGCCCAAGAGGTCGAGGCTGCAGTGAGCCATGATTGGTCCATCGCACTCCAGCGTAAGTGACAGAGCAAGACACTGTCTCTAAAAAAATAAAAAATAAAAATAAAAATAATGTTTTGGAAGGGGGGGGTGATAGAGATATGCGTGCAAGCACAGGTGCACACACTCTCCAAGCCTGTGCTGAAACCAATTAAGAATCTCTAGAAGATGAAAACCCCAAATTAACCAAAATCCAAATTAATTTTCTGGAATTTGTCAGCTGAGGACTTTTAAAGTAGAGTGAATATATTTAATGATTTAAACAGTTGTCTGGATATATAGCATTTTTGTTTGTATTAAGCACTACCATTGACTTACTCTTTGATTACCTGTCATATTTTTTTGGAGACGTGGTCTCACTATGTTGGCCAGGTTGGTTTTGAACTCTTGGCCTCAAGCAATCCTCCCACCTTGGCCTCCCAAAGTGCTAGAATTACAGGTGTGAGCCACTGCGCCCATCCTGCAAATAATACTTTTAAACAGGCAAGGAATTAAACTGAATGAAATTTATTTATGTAAAATGGTGCAAGATCATTAGGTGAACAAAAAAACAAGTATGGATTAGATTGGGTGCTTTTATGGAATCAGGAAAAATCTGATGTTTTCTTTCCAGGGAATATGGTTACCATTTGAAGTTTTGTTTTGTTTTTTTGAAACAGTTTCACTCTTGCTGCCCAGGCTGGAGTGCAATGGCAGGATCTCGGCTCACCACAGCCTCCACCTCCTGGGTTCAAGTGATTGTCTTACCTCAGCCTCCCGAGTAGCTGGGGTTACATGCATGAGCCACCACACCCGGCTAATTTTGTATTTTCAGTAGAGATGGGGTTTCTCCATGTTGGTCAGGCTGGTCTCGAACTTCTAACCTCAGGAGATATGCCCACCTCAGCCTCCCAAAATCCTGGGATTACAGGCATGAGCCACCGCTCCTGGCCTACTATTTGAAGTTTTTAAGCCACTACTTAAATATTATTCAAATTATTTTGTGTTGAAAGTACAGTAATGTCACACCTGGCCTGGTAGGTCGAAATCTGAGGATACCATCCCTACATGTATTAAGGGATGGATGGGTGTTTTTAAGAACACATTTATATATATTTTTATATAAAAAAGATACATATGTATCTTTTTTTTTCTTTTTGAGACAGGGTATTGGTCTGTCACCCAGGCTGAGACCTCCAGGGTTCAAGGGATTCTCCCGCTTCTGTCTCCTGAGCAGCTGGGACTACAGGCATACCACCACACTTGGCTAATTTTTGTATTTTTTGTAGAGATGTGGTCTTGTCATGTTGCCTAGGCTGGTCTCGAACTCCTGGGCTCAAGGAAATCCGCCCACATCAGCTTCTTAAAATGCTGAGATTACAGGTGTAAGTTACCTTGCCCAGCCCAGACTTGCATTTCTTTGGGAATTCATTTTTGCTCAAGGAAATGAATTGTATTGGGAAATATAAAATGATTTTTTTAAATAGGCATGATTTTAGAGGAAATACAGTTACATTTGTGAGAAGTTTCACTTATTAAGAAACAAATTATCCAGAAACATTTTAATACTGTCAAAGCATCTTAAATGATCTGACTTGTTTTAAAAAGAAAGCTAGGCTGCGTGTGGTGGCTCATGCCTGTAATCCCAGCACTTTGGGAGGCTGAGGTGAGTGGATCACCTGAGGTCAGGAGTTGAAGACCACCCTGGCCAACATAGTGAAACCCCATCTCTACTAAAAATACAAAAATTTAGCCAGGTGTGGTGGTGGGCACCTATAATCTTAGCTACTTGGAAGGTTGAGGCAGGGAGAATTGCTTGAACCCGGGAGGCAGAGGTTGCAGTGAGCTGAGATCGCACTACTGCACTCCAACCTGGGCGACAGAGCAAGACTCCATCTCAAAAAAAAAAAAGCAAAACGTAAAACTAGATTGATAGCAGTGCCTCAAGGTTTAAGCTTTTCCTGCAGCATACTCTTAGGTTCTCTAAGAGATTGTTGCCTAAGTGATATGCCAAAGATGTTAAGGCTTTTAAAAATCTTTAACTTTTACTGAAACAGTGGTTTGCCTTTCTGTGGCATCTGACTCAGTATATCGCCAGTATTACATTTTTCTCCCCCTCTGCACATCCCTCCAGGTAAAGGAGCTTCCTTATGGTCTCATGTTTTGTTTTATGGTTTTATCCTATTTTTTGGCATGATCATTCCTTATTTTTTGAAATGACTTTGACACAACGGGGCAATGGTTCACAAACTTGGACTATGTAAGTTAAAGTATATACTACTGTGCAGAATGGAAAATCAGTCTATCAACCTCTGTTTTTAAGTCAGATACTTCAATTTTAGTTACTCAAAGGTGGTTCTGTGTCCAACTTATTTGTATTACCCACATGCAGTTTTAGCCAGTCAAGTTATGTGCTGAAACAAATCCCTGTTCTCTGATTAAATATACATATTATTAGATGTTTTAAACAGTTACTTTCTAATTATGTAATTGCTTATTAAAGGATTACTATGGATGTCTTTGCACAATTAAAAAGCGTATCATAGTATAATACATTTATCATATGTGATACATTCATTGTTTCCCAGTCCCAGTCTTTGTTTCTTTTTTGTTTTGCTCTTTTTAAAAAATCAAAAGGTTTTAATATAGTTAAGATCGTATATGAATCGACTACTTAAAACGTTTACTTTTGTGAGTGATAACCCAAGATGGTTGTGAATTGGGTTATGACTAAAGAGCACTAAACCAAGCCTGTACCAAATTAATGAAAATTAGTATGTTAACTGAGGAGCCTGTTGCTTTTTGTTTAATCAAGCAGTTTAAATGTGAAATAAAATATATTGTTAATAAATGATAAACTCACTTTATCATGGTTCTAGTTAGTTAGTGGCATAGTTTTATTTCCAGCCACCACCTTTAGGTATCATTTCTTACAGTTACTGTCGTGATTTTTTTAAATATATTTTTTATTGACTTATTTTTTTTTAGAAAGAGGGTCTATGTCGGCTCTGACTGGAATGCAGTGGCACAAAAATAAAGCTCACTACAGCTTCAAACTTCTGGGGTCAAGTGATCTTCCCACCTCAGCCTCCCAAGTAGCTGGGACTGCTGGTACATGCACCACACCCAGCTAATTTTTTTTCTTTTTTTGGGGAGAGATGGGGTCTCTCCTTAAAAAAAAGCTAAACATAAAACTAGATTGATAGGAGTAAGTCACAAAGCTGAAATAAGTATAAGGTTAGCATATTTAGCCTATTGCCCAGGCTGTAGATTTATTTTTTACTTGTTAAATTGTTACTTTTATAATAAGATAGAAGTTTGTGAAAATCTGTAGCATACCATGCAGTTACTATTCCAGAAAACGCCTGTTGCCATCTAACTGCTACATAAGTTCTCATACTCAAAGAATTGCAGGGTTAGTTGGCACCAGCTCTAATCTAAACAAGATGACCATGACATGAATACATGTGATACACAAAGCGTAAGTTTAGTGCTTGACATATAGTAGGCACTTAGTGAATATTTGATTGACTGAAGTAATATATTTTATTTTATTTTATTTTATTGAGATAGTCTCATTCTGTTGCCCGGGCTGGAGTGCAGTGGCATGATCTTGGCTTACTGCAACGTCCGCCTCCTGGGTTTCAAGCAATTCTCCTGCTTCAGCATCCTGAGTAGCTGGGATTACAGGGGTGCGCACCACGCCCAGCTAATTTTTGTATTTTTAGTAGCAATGGAGTTTCGCCATGTTGGCCAGACTGGTCTCGAACTCTTGACCTCAAGTAATCCACCCGCCTCAGCCTCCCAAAGTGCTGGAATTACAGGTGTGAGCCACCATGCCTGGCCTGAATGAAGTAACATTTAATAAATAAATAGAGATATAGGTATAGATAACATAGTCATCTATATCTTTGGATATATTTGTCTACAGTATAGATGTGATGGATAGCATTTATGCCCTGCTCACCACTAACTCTGGTTCTTTCAGTTTCCCTGTAATTGGAAGGAAATCAATAAGCAGTCTACTTCAGTATATTCAGAACTGTCTTAAACTTTCTGTGATGATGGGGTGTTCTGTATTTGTGTGGTCCAATACAATAGCCACTGTATACTTGTGGCTGTTGAGCATTTGGAAGGGCTGTGATGCTGAGGAACTGAATTTTTAATTTATTGGATTTTAATTAATTTAAACTTAAATAGCCACATGTGGCTAGTGGCTCTATGGGAAGGCAGAGGATATCAATCAGTTGAAGTTCAGGTATTTTGTGTGCCTCATTTGATCTTACAGTTCCAACATGTCTCATCTGTTAAATTTTTTACCAGAAGTTGCTCACCAAAAAGAAATTGAGGTTTTAAAAATGTTTTTTTTTTTAAACCAATTACCAATTTTTTATTAGGTGCTAATAAAAAACGTAGTATTCAAAAGATGGACTGGGGTGAAATCAAAGGATTGGGATAATCCCAGTTCAAAATAAGTGTTGCCAGAATAGTTAGCTGTCTCATATTAGAATAGTCATATAGTACTTTGGACAAGAAATGAGGCTGCCTTTCTGCCCTGTCAATAAACTAATTGGAGTGAATGGGTGAATGAATCATTTAAACTCTGAACTTCTGTTTCCTCTATGTAAAGTAACTATTAAGATACGGCTTTTTTTTTCCAGCTTGAACAAGAGAGATTCAGCAAGAAGAAAAGCTCTGTATACATTTCAAAGGTTATAGGATTATAGAGAAAGACATCTTTTGTAATATATTCAGGGCATCATTGTTCTATTGCTATAAGGTTACCAAGTTTCCAGTGCCCATGAAGGTTTGACTAAATGGGTCAAACCTCTCTACTGTGAATTTCTATTTCTATGATGGTTACAAAAGTAGTCTTTTAGAATACCTGTTTTTTGTAACTAACTTTGAAATCCAAACTAGGAGTGAAAATAGATTTTTTTTTCACTGCTTCCAGAAATACTTGATAGGGAAAAGAAGAAAGAGATGATTTCTAATTTTTAAAGTGATTTTTGGGAAGTTTGGTTAGTTCAGAAATATCTTGGGTTATCTAGAGAATTATATATAATACCTGTAGGTGATCAAGATAAATTTATTTTTATTTTTCTTTTTTAATTTTTTAATTTTTTTATTTTTTTATTTTTATTTTTTTAGACAGGGTCTCACTCCGTCACCTGGACTGGAGTGCAATGGCATGATCATGGCTCGCTATAGCCTTGACCTGCTAGGCTCAAGAGATCCTCCCACCTCAGCTTCCCAAATAGCTGGGACTATAGGCACATGCCACCACACCTGGCTGATATTTGTATTTTTCGTAGATGTTTTGTCATGTTGCCCAGGCTGGTCTGAAAATCCTGGACTCAAGCAATCCACTCATGTATGCCTAGGCCTCCCAAAGTGCTGGAATTAAAGATGTAGCCGCTGTGCCTAGACCAGATAAATTCATTTTTAAAGATTACTTGAAAATCACTTTGGTTGTATCAGTTAAGGGGCTTGTTAGAATATCAGCACTATTTTTGATACCTAGTTGAAATTTTGGTATCTCCATGATTGCGTAAGGTGGCAAAAAGAGATTCAAAATAGGGACGATATGGGACAGTATTGAACACTGTAATGATCAGGCCTAACAGAGTCCTCACAGTAATGCTGTGACTGGCTTAGGGATGGAGTTTATGTGGGACCCTGTAAGTAGAATAATTATTGACCCTTTGTCTGCAGCAGTTACTGGAGCAACACCACAGAGTAAAGGCTTTAAGCATTGATGAGATGACTCTCTATTTCCTCTCTTCTTCTGCTCTGTATTATGTGTAGGGTGATGTTGGGCTTGCTATGGGGAAACTATATGGAAATGATTTCAGCCAAACTACCATCTCTCGCTTTGAAGCCTTGAACCTCAGCTTTAAGAACATGTGCAAGTTGAAGCCACTTTTAGAGAAGTGGCTAAATGATGCAGGTAAGTGAATATATAAGACATTTCTTTGTCATTCATTGGAATTTTACAGGGAGGTTGTTATATAAATTGGGGTTTATATTTGTTACTCTACTTTTGTTACTATAGAACCTTGAAGCTTACTAATCCTTTGGTGATCATTATAAATTACGGTGATGTAAATCAGAAAGCTGATTCATTTAAATATTCTAGTAGTCATAGTCTAAATAATTAGCAATAATTTTTAGCCTGAAATACTTCTCGTATTTGAGCCAGGATTACGAATACATACACAGTTGAAGGAATAGGATAAGAAGGCCTGTGTATTTAGATAAGCTTGAAGTGCAAGCTTATTGTTTATTCCTTGATGAATTATCATAGAACTTGTTCCTGTAGTATTTCTGCTTTTGTTATTTCAAATGACCACACGATTCATTCAGAAAAGTTGAACTACTAGCTTTGTCTTATGTTTTTTGTGCTAAGATTTCCTTTTGGAAGATTTGGATTTTGAGTCACAGAATCATAGACTATGAAAGTTACAGGAATCATCTAAATTGCTTAGACTATGGTTCTTATTGTAGATGTCAACAAAAACTAGGCCTTTGGAAAAGACAAGCCTGAAACACGCATCCTTGGAGAGTTTTATTCAGTAGCTATTGGTGAGGCCTAGCCGTCTGTTTCCTGAGTCCACAGATAAAAACTACTGGTTTACTCCCTCCATCTTATTTTACATATAGCAGAAACAAACTCAGATGTGTCTGATATGCCCAAGGTTATTAAACTGTGAAATCACAGGACTCTGTGATTTAACTTCAAAGAATTTATAAATATTTCATTTGTTTCTTTTCTTTTTACCCTAGATTATACCAATAAAATGAGAGGCCATTTACAAGATAAATATTAAACATTCAGTAATTTCCAAGAAGCTTTCTTCTTTTTATCCTCAGAATTTATAAACAGAAATGAGAGACAGAGCTGAGTTTAAGGGTAGGAATAGTAAACAACTTCTTTCTCAGAAACAGAAATCCAAAAGTAGTGGTAATATTGTCAACTATCCTAGGACAAAGAATGCCAATAAGGACAGCAGAAATATCCATAGTAGTAAGCTGTATTTTTTGAGACATGGTCTCACTCTGTTGCCCAGGCTGGAGTACAGTGGCATGATCTCAGCTCACTGCAAACTCTACCTCCCAGGTTCAAGTGATCCTCCCACCTTAGCCTCCCAAGTAGCTGGGACCACAGGCACACGCCACCATGCCCAGCTAATTTTTATATTTTTGGTGGAGACAGGGTTTCACCATGGTAGCCAGGCTGGTCTTGAACTCCTGAACTCAAGTGATCCTCCCACCTCAGCCTCCCAAAGTGTTGGGATTACAGGTGTGATCCACTGTGCCTGGCCAATAAGCAATATTGCAACATAGGTTATGTGAAAACCTTTTCATACTTGCATGTAGCTTATTTTGTCAGTTTTGTTGTTAATATGCATGTTATACACATGAATCACTGTGCTCAGCTTATTTTATTTCTATATTTTCTTCATTCTTACAGAGAACCTCTCATCTGATTCATCCCTCTCCAGCCCAAGTGCCCTGAATTCTCCAGGAATTGAGGGCTTGAGCCGTAGGAGGAAGAAACGCACCAGCATAGAGACCAACATCCGTGTGGCCTTAGAGAAGAGTTTCTTGGAGGTCAGTGAGGTTTTTACTTTTCTGTACATGGGATTGTCTGTGTAGGACCTAACATTAGTACTTAGTAGAAACTGTAGGTGATAAAAGATGACCTGTCAGCCTCTGCCCTTATGGATGATTTTAATGTAATAGATGAAATAAGTAAGTAACCGACTGACATAGGAGACAGAACCAGAGTTCTGCAAGTTTCAGGAGAGACCAGAGTCATATCCATGTGAGCACTCAGTATGAGAGAGGTAGCAGCTACCATAGGATACATAGGAATTAATTCCACAGACTAGAAAAAGTGGATGGAAAGTACTTAAAGCAGAGGAAACGCATGAGTGTTTTCCCCTCAGAGTGGGGAAAACATTGGAGTGAGGGAAACCATAGTGTACCAGGAGACACTCTAGTAGATTGGTTGGTTAAATTCTAGTGTCTGTATGCCTGGAATAGTAATTTGGGACTGGAACACTAGCGACCTTGAATGTTAGGCTGTGGAGCTTAAGTTAATGCAAGAGATACTTGCCAATTATTTTTTTTGTGCCAGGCAATATCATAATCAAAGCTTTTAAGAAAATTTTGAATTCTCTAATTTAGAAAAGACTTGAGCATATTAGAAGGACACTGAATTCAGAATTTTTATCAGCTCTACCACTTACTGTGTGATTGGGCAAATCACATGATTTCTTTAAGCTGAAGGTCCTTCATCTGTGTAATACCTGACTTTCTTAATGTGAGGTCCAAATTAGATAGCATGAAGCATGAAGAAAGGTTAAATTCCTACTAATACATAGGGTTGTATTGGTATTTTGTTAATTTTATTCACAATTAATAGATCTTAAAAATGAAAAAATACAGATATTCGAGGATAACTTATTCTAAGTTAATATAAATAAGTTTAGTAAGTATATGTTCATTAGAACTTCTATCTACAGAATCTCTCTGTTGAAAGTGGCCTAATGTGGATGGTCATATGTATCCCCACTTCATTTTCTAACCTGTCCCTCCTCATTTGTTTGTTTATATACTGATATGATTATGCTAGTAGTTCAAAAAGTTATTCCAGAGGATAACTTTTGGAATTATGTTTTTTCACCCTTCAGAATCAAAAGCCTACCTCGGAAGAGATCACTATGATTGCTGATCAGCTCAACATGGAAAAAGAGGTGATTCGTGTTTGGTTCTGTAACCGCCGCCAGAAAGAAAAAAGAATCAACCCACCAAGCAGTGGTGGGACCAGCAGCTCACCTATCAAAGCAATTTTCCCCAGCCCGACTTCACTGGTAAGAAGGAAAAAAAGGGGGTCCAAGCTCAAGGGCTAATTTTTGCAATTTTGCAAATGACCTGTTAAATCAGTTTATTTCATAATAGGATTTTAATGAATAAATACATCAAATGCATATGAATTTATATTTTAGACAGTATCAAGGTAACGAAATTCTCTCTCTCTCTCTCTCTCTCTCTCTCTCTCTCTCTCTCTCTCTTTCTCTCTTTCTCTCTTTTTTGCTGAGGTCACTGGTCACTGGTCTTGAGGTACCCCTGCACAGAGGGTGAAATCTCACTGTTATTAACCCAAAAACTTACTGGTCGGTCAGTCTATCTGTCTATCTAATCTATTTATTTATTTCTGAGACAGAGTCTTAGTCCATCAGCCAGGCTGGAGTGCAGTGGTACGATCTCGGCTCACTGCAACCTCTGCCTCCTGGGTTTAAGCAGTTCTCCCGGCCTCAGCCTCCCAGAGTAGTTGGGATTACAGGTGCCCACCACTATGCTCGGCTTATTTTTTGTATTTTTAGTAGAAGTGGGGTTTCGCCATGTTAGCCAGGCCAGTCTCGAACTTCTGACCTCAAGTGATCCACCTGCCTCAGCCATCCAAAGTGCTGGGATTACAGGTGTGAGCCACCACACCCAGCCTTTTTTTTTTTTTTTTTTTTTTTTTTTAATTGAGACAGAGTTTTGCTCTTATCGCCCAGGCTGGAGTGCATTGGTGCGATCTCAGCTCACTGCACCCTCTGCCTCCCAACTCTTCTGCCTCAGACTCCCAAAGTAGCTGGGATTACAGGTACCCACCACCAGGCCCCACTAATTTTTTTGTGTTTTTAGTTGAGACGGGATTTTACCATGTTGGCCAGGCTGGTCTTGAACTCCTGACCTCAGGTAATCCACCCACCTCAGCCTCCCAAAGTGCTGGGATTACAGGTGTGAGCCACCGCACCCTGCCCGCCTTTCTTAATTTTTAAAGTGAACAATTTTAAGTTTTTCATTGCATTTCCATCATACTCTTATCTAAGGAACTACACTTAGAATACTCTGTAACCATGGGAATAAAGTTGCTGCTCATTCCAGTTATCTCAGAAAATCTTTACTTTTTATTCATATTGAGTCCTACAGCCCAATTAAACTTACACTCACATGATTGACAGTAAATTGCCAGACCTTCAGCTCTGAACTTGTATTAAAACAATTATCTAAGATCTTTTACTTTCAAACAACATATGATTCTTTGCTATGAAACCTCATTGAGTAACTTCTGCTGTTTGCATTACTCCTAGATTGAAGAGACATACAGTGGTCATGTGACTCCCTTGATTTTTAGGATGATTGTATATGTGACTTCTACATTGCCAGGATTCAAAATATGGGAATATTGTTGAGTTTGTATTTCTGTTCTTTTTTTTTTTTTAATTTGGTTTTATTTTAATTGAATAGCATTCCATACTGGCAGACTTTTTAAACTAAAGTCAGCATTAAAAGCACATGTTAGTTTACAGGAAAGTTGTAGTTGTTAAGTGGTGGGTTTGTAGTCATAAAGTTCATGAGATAGGTATGAAATAGCAGCTTTCCTACATAGGATGTCAGATGTCTCAATTCCAAGACCAAAGAGTGACTATAAAATGATTTTTAAGTGCTTTGTCCATGTTTTCATTTCTGACCTCAAGGTGGCGACCACACCAAGCCTTGTGACTAGCAGTGCAGCAACTACCCTCACAGTCAGCCCTGTCCTCCCTCTGACCAGTGCTGGTGTGACGAATCTTTCAGTTACAGGTAAGCAGCTGCCAGGCCATGCACCTGCTGAGCACGTGGGAGGACTGTGATGGGTTATTATAAGAATCTGCCATTAAATTGTGAATTAAGGCTGTAACTAAACATAGGTGTTGCTCATAAACATTTTCTTTCAAGTAACTCCTCAAAAACCTTCAATAGCTATGGCTTTTTGCATTCAGGAAAACATCCAAGTTTGTCAATTTATAGGAGGTTATTTCCAGTCTGAACCTGATCTCCTGCTAGTCTTTTGCCTGCCCTACTCTCAGCACACAGGAGGGCTCCAACTGTACCTTTGTAAACATCCCTACACTGGAAATGTCCATCTTAGCCTGCAGTTCTTGATCTGTTTTTGATAAAACTACCCCAGCTTGTGTGTCAACTTTTCTTGGAAATATTATTTAGCTTCTCCAGGAAACTATTCATTTCCACATACCTGTCTTATACTTTATTTTTACACATCTGTCTTTCCCAGTAGACTTTGTACTTCTCAGAAGATTGAGTATTCTTTTTAAACTCTTGATGCCTAGCTCAGTGCATGACATACTCACAATAAAATGAATGGGTTTTTTTTCTTTGCCTTCCTTTAAGTAGCAAATTTTCCCAATAAATTTAAAATCACTTAGCACTGTCATTAGATGTTTTTTAGTGATACATAGTGCATAAGACATGCTGTAATTATTCACCAGGTTGGTTATTTACTGGTAAATCATTGAGTAGATTCATGATATTACATAATGAAGCTTGATTTAACCTAGAGGTGAGGACTTATTTTTCTCACTTTTGTTTTAAATTTATAACACTTCCTTGGCTCTAGGACCTAACCATGATATAAAAATTGAATAAATGGCTTTATGTTATATTAAATTTCTACATTATTGGAATACATTATTTAAAAATGTTATTTTTTTTCTGCATCCAACCATCCATTAATTTTTGCTTATTTTAAAAAGTACTTCTTGACCTCTTCTGGATGTTGGACCTCTTTAAGAATTAATGAAAGCTGGGCCTGGCACAGTGGCTCAAGCCTGTAATCCCAGCACTTTGGGAGGCCAAGGCGGGTGGATCACGAGGTCAAGAGATCGAGACCATCCTGGTCAACATGGCGAAACCCCATCTCTACCAAAAACACAAAAAAAAATTAGCTGGGCATGGTGGTGTGTGCCTGTAATTCCAGCTACTCAGGAGGCTGAGGCAGGAGAATTGCCTGAACCCAGGAGGTGGAGGTTGCGGTGAGCCAAGATCGCGCCATTGCACTCCAGCCTGGGTAACAAGAGCGAAACTCCGTCTCCAAAAAAAAAAAAAAAGAATTAATGAAAGCTACAGACTTTTCCTTCCACTAAATAGACATATACACAAGTTTTAGTAAAATTTAAGGAGGTTTATAAATGACATCTCCTGTCAAACCCCATCCCAAGGCTATGTGTAGATACCTACAGATTCCAGTTTTAAGAACCTTCGTTCAAGAATATGTTTAAGAACCTTGGTTAGGCATATATATAATATTGAGCGCTTCCTCTTAAAAAGCAAACTGTTAGTGATTGATTGGCATTGTGTCGGGCACCAAGAACATGAAGTTTCATCTCTGAGGACCTTGTTGTCCAAACTGACTGCCAGTCACCTGGTAAATTATGAACTGAATCTTACCTTCCCAACAAATTATATTGCTTTAGGTCTAAAAATACCTATTTTTTACAGAAAAAATCCTAATAGTTTATGCATTAAGAACAAATCGTTTTGCAGTTTTCTTAAAATATGGGGGAAAATAATTTTACAAAGATTTTAATCGTTTTGCAGTTTTTTTAAAATATGGGGAAAAATAATTTAGAAAGATTTTAATACTCAGTGCTAGCTAAAAATTTTCATCAGTTTTTGGTATTTCTTATCAATCACGTTTTCTTGAGCTCAGTTACTCAGCCTATTTATGTGGACCTAATTGTGATTGTTTTCTGACATGTTGATACTGTTTCCTGGAATGAATTTTTTTTTTAATTATTAAGAAACAACATTATTAGGAAATTTAAAAGGAAAAAACAATCACAAGTACTATTTTTATTTTCTCTTTAAATCTTTTTAATGTACATGTATGTACAATTTCAGTAGTATTTGTCTGGTACAATGTTTGATTGCAGCTTTATGATACTCTAAGCAGAAGACTCAGCTAGGTTGCGCCTGGACACCTGACCCACAAAAACTGTGAAATGATAAATTGTGTTGTTTTAAGCTGCTGAATTTGTGTCATTGCCCTTGAAAGAGAAGAAGAGTCAGTGTCAAGTGGATTGTCTTTCTTAGTCTTTTGTCAGCCATTGCTCAAAACCATGCCTGCTTTTAAATTTTTTTCCTCTTTGGACTGTAACTTTCAGGTGCAACCTCTTTTCCTCTGACATTTTTTTACTGCCTTCTTTTTTTCTAGAAACTGTTGAGAAAAGTAGCATGTTTCTTTATCATGTTATTTATTAAAGATAGCCAATGTCTTAATCATACAACTTACCTAATGCAGTCTGTTTTCTTCCTGAAGCCTTTGTTCTTGGGATTTTTATGATTGCTTATTTTAATTTGTTTTCACTGTTTTCCTGAGTTAGATCCAATGTTTCTCAGATCCCCTGCCTTCCTTTTTGATTCCTTTTTGTCTGGAGCATGTAATCAAGTAATTTTATTTAGAAAGGTTACGTGAGAGGTAAAATTTCTAAATACATATATAACTGAGAAGTTTTATTTTGCCCTCACAATTTTTTTGGAGTTTTTCCAATTACAAAATTATTTTTCCTTTGAATTTTGTTGTGTTTTAAGCATCAAGTGTTGTTGATGAAAAGTCTGATTTCAATCTCTTTTTTCTTGTTTTATCTCTCTCTAAACTTTAAGGATCTTTTTATCTTTACTCTTCTAAAATTTCATTATGAGGTTTCAAAGAGAAGGGGCCTTTTAAAACTTACCCTCGTTGGCCTTCAGTGAGCATTTTCAATGTGAATTAGTGTCTTTCTTGAACTCTGGTAATATATCTTTTTTTTAAGTTAGGGTTTTTTGGCATTCACTTTTTTAATTCATTTTGTGCCATTTGTTGTGTGCTGTTGGCTTTTTCATTGTCTGGTGATTTTTGGTTACTTATTCATAGTAATTAATGCAAGATTACATTACTTAATATCAGTAGCTTGTAAGGGTTTTTCCTGACATTTTGTAGCTTCTGTTATTCAAGCGTCCTTCCCCCTGAATGGAAGGGCTAGTGGTGAGCTGTGAATGTGAATAAAGAACTGGCAAACTTTATTTCAGCATATGAACAGGAAGCAGGCAGGCAAGCGAGGCTTTCCCTCATACTTTTCCAAAATGAGGGGTATCTTTACTCATGCATGCAAGTGTCTACACTAGAATCCTTAGCCTTTTAAAAGATTTCATCATCAAAAAAAGGTTATCCTTTTTTTTTTTTTTTTGAAACGGAGTCTCATGTCATCACCCAGGCTGGAGTGCAATCTCAATGCAACCTCCGCCTCCTAGGTTCAAGCGATTCTTGTGCCTCAACCTCCCTAGTAGGTGAGATTACAGGCACCTGCCACCATGCCCAGCAAATTTTTTTGTGTTTTTAGTAGAGACAGGGTTTCACTATGTTGGTCAGGCTGGTCTTGAACTCCTGGCCTCATGTGGTCTGCCCACCTCAGCCTCCCAGAGCGCTGGGATTACAGGTGTGAGCCACTGCACCCAGCCAAAAATGTTATCTTTTACATAAATTTTTTTCCAATGTGTCATACCTGTATAAGTCTGAAATGTTTGTTTTGATTGGTCTGGGTTTTCAAAAATAATGTATTGAAAGTATTTTATACCTCAAAGAATTATCACATTAATAAATTTTTAGATGCATTTTTTTTGTCTTTTCGAGTTTTCTTTCTTGAGAAAATGCCACTTAGATTTTGCTTCCCTCAGTGTCTTCAGGGGATTGGTTCAAAACCCCACCAGATAACAAAATCCACAGGTGTTCAAGTCACTTATTTAAAATAGCAACCTGGCTCAGTGGCTCATGCCTGTAATTTCAGCATTTTGGGAGGCTGAGGCAGGAGAATCACTTGAGTTCCTCAGGAGTACAAGACCAGCAAGACCCCATCTCTACAAAATATAGAAAAATTAGGCAGGTGTGGTGGTGCACGCCTATAGCCTCAGCTACTTGGGAGGCTGAGGTGGAAATACCACTTGAGTCTGAGAGGTTGAAGCTGCAGGGAGCTGTGGTCATGCCACTGCAGTCCAGCCTAGGTGGCACAGTGAGACCTTGTCTCAAAAAAAAATTTTAAAAAGAAAATTAAAATAGCATAGTATTTATATATAACCTACTCACATCCTCTTTTATACTTCAAATCATCTCTAGGTTACTTACAATACCTACCACAGCAGAAATGCTATATAAATAGTTGTTATAATGTATTGTTCTAAAATTTATATTATTTTTTATTGTATTTTTAAAAAATATTTTTGATGCACAGTTGGTAGAATCCACAGATGTGGAACATGTGGATTCAGAGAACCAACTGCATATAGTTGATTATATCCTAGAACATAGTGAATTTTACTAAATTAAGTTTCAGCTAGTTTAGGCAGCCTATTTTTGTAATATGCTAGTAACACTTACTGATAACTGAAATAAGGGCCTATTCTGTCTTTTATAGATAGCATCAGAATTACAGCTCACTGGGGACAGTTGGCATCTCCTGCTTTGTGAAAGGTTATCTGTCCTCTGAGAGCTGTGTGAGCCATTTCTACTTTAGGCAAACTGACTTAACATTCTTTAAGTCACACTTGCCTCTGGAACCTCACAGGCCTCATTTCCAGACATATTTTAGACCTGTGGTATCCGACGTGGCATCCACCAGCCACATATGGCTTTTGAACATTTAAAGTGTGGCTAGTTCAACTTTAGGTGTACTGTAATCATAAAATAAGATACCATTTTCAGCTCAGAAAGGAAAATGGCAGAATAACTTGATATTTAAATTTTTATTTTTTCTCTTTTTCTTTTTTATAAGCAGACCCATTTAGTATCCATCAATATTGAAATATTGATTCATCTTGAAATGCTAATATTTTGGGTACATTAGGTTAAATATAATATATAACTGAAATTAATTTTACTTTTTTCTTTTTTTTTTTTTTTTTTTTTTGAGGCAGCGTCTCTGTTGCTCAGGATGGAGTGCAGTGACGTGACCTCTGCTCACTGCAACCTCTGCCCCTTGGGCTCAAGCAGTTTTCCTGCCCCAGCCTCCTGAGTAACTGGAATTGCAGGCGCCCACCACCACATCTGGCCAATTTTTGTATTTTTAATAGAGACAGGGTTTCACCGTGTTGGCCAGGATGGTCTTGATCTCTTGACCTTGTGATCTGTCTGCCTCAGCCTCCCAAAGTTCTGGGATTACAGGCACGAGCCACCATGCCTGGCCTACAAATAATAATTTCTTACATCTTCATTTTTATGCTAGCTTTTATGAGATTCATAGTATCATTGTATGTTTTTGTTTTTGTTTTTTTTTTTACCACAATGGATTTTTGGGAGCTAATTTTTATTACAGAATAGTTACTTGTTTGCATATCATAGAGAAGGCACGTAGTCATTTTTATACTATCTTGTTGATACTGAATTCTTAGAAAAGCACATAACTTTCTGTTTTTCTTTTTGTTTTGATTTTTCTGAGGAGACCACTAAGGAGATTTCTGAATGAAAAAGAGCTTTACAGAAGGTTTTCTTCTTGTTTTTTTTTTTCTTCCCCAGAGAAGTTGTATTCCATAATTAGAGCTTCTATGATTCTTTCTTTTGTTTCTTGAATAGGAAATAGGCAATGGAAAACTTTTCTGTTTCTTTGATTGCTCATATCTCTTAAAGTAGGGTTCATAGCTGTGATTCTAAAATGTTTGTTGTAATTTTCATAGAAGCACTAAACTAGGTTATTAAAGAGCAAATTTACAAGGGCAAATTTACTAGGTGGTAGGTTAATTATTCCATTGATTATAGAGTTTGGCTGAGTAAACCCACCATTCTTCCAAAACCATTTACAAAAGGTCATCTTCTAATCTGGTCTTTTCAGGCACTTCAGATACCACCTCCAACAATACGGCAACCGTGATTTCCACAGCACCTCCGGCTTCCTCAGCAGTCACATCCCCCTCTCTGAGTCCCTCCCCTTCTGCCTCGGCCTCCACCTCCGAGGCATCCAGTGCCAGTGAGACCAGCACAACACAGACCACCTCCACTCCTTTGTCCTCCCCTCTTGGGACCAGCCAGGTGATGGTGACAGCATCAGGTTTGCAAACAGCAGCAGCTGCTGCCCTTCAAGGAGCTGCACAGTTGCCAGCAAATGCTAGTCTTGCTGCCATGGCAGCTGCTGCAGGACTAAACCCAGGCCTGATGGCACCCTCACAGTTTGCGGCTGGGTAAGCGCTTTCTCATCTCATTCACATGTGAGGAGGAGGTCATCCCTGGAATTACTCGTAGGGGAGACTTTGCATCACCTGACTTAACTGGGGGGAAAATGTCTTTAAAGCAGTAATCTCTTTGAAATGGACTGTTTTGTGATCATCCAAGGACCTTGATTATAGTTGAGTTTAAATTTCTTAACACCCTGGGAAAGGGAGTAGTTATAACTTTGTTTCCAGAGAAAGACCCCAAATACCAGGTCATTGATTACCTTGGTGACAGGGCCAGGAAGAAAGCCCAGAATTTTTTTTTTTTTTTTTTTTTTTTTTTTTTTGAGACGGAGTTTCGCTCTTGTTACCCAGGCTGGAGTGCAATGGCGCGATCCCGGCTCACCGCAACCTCCGCCTCCTGGGTTCAGGCAATTCTCCTGCCTCAGCCTCCTGAGTAGCTGGGATTACAGGCACGTGCCACCATGCCCAGCTAATTTTTTGTATTTTTAGTAGAGACGGGGTTTCACCATGTTGACCAGGATGGTTTCGATCTCTTGACCTCGTGATCCACCCACTTCGGCCTCCCAGATGTGCTGGGATTACAGGCTTGAGCCACCGCGCCCCGCCCAGAATTCTTGACTCTTACTTTCCCCATTACGCTCGCTCAACTGCCTACTTCCTAATTCTCAAGCATAGATAAGAGATGTAGTAATGAGAGTCTCAATTTTATACTGTCATTGTCAAACATAAGAATGACCTTGTAAATACATCTTTTTCTCTAGAATGTTTCTTTCATTTTGGAAAAAAGTAAGTCATTCAAAATGACTTTAAAAGTCTTACATTTTGTGCTGATCATAACCTCATTTGTATGAGTAAGCATCAAGGAAAGCAGTAACTGAGAAGCAATAACCAAACCGTAGAAGAGTAAAGCAAAATAAATATTTCCATCTATTTCCCCAGTTGGATTTTCCTTTTGTAAGTTCTTTTTGATGTGTTGTCACAATGAGACCTCCATCTGCATGGTAATAAAGTGACTCCTCTTTTGGACTTGCAGAGGTGCCTTACTCAGTCTGAATCCAGGGACCCTGAGCGGTGCTCTCAGCCCAGCTCTAATGAGCAACAGTACACTGGCAACTATTCAAGGTCAGTAGAAGCTTTCTGCTTACTTTGGTGGCGTGCGTGTGTGTGTGTGTGTGTGTGTGTGTGTGTGTGTGTGTGTGTGTGTGTGTGTATGAGAGAGAGACAGACAGAGAGCTGGAGGAAGTCGGCTTTGCTAAAGGTAAATGATAAGGAAAGAGTCAAATACTGATTAACTTATATTTAAGGACCAAGAAAATGTCCTTTAAAAAAGCTTTGTAAGAGAAGTATAGGTGTTAGTATGTCAGTAAAAGCAGGAAATATACTTAGTTTGGTATATGGTAAGAAACCAGAACTTTTATACTGATACTGATCTTATGTGAATAAACTTGAAGGCAGATTTTTACCCCTGATAAGTTTATCCCAAGTATTAATCTAAAACCCATCTCAAGGCAAACTTGACCAAGTAAGAGTCTCCAATCTCCATCCCCACCCCTGAGAAAGCTGTGCATGGGAAAGTCCTATAATGAACATTGGGACATATCAGGTGGACCTCAGGGATGCTTTTAATTCTTGTTAGGGTCTGCCCTTTTTATATCCCTGTTTGTGTAGAACATATATTCTCTTGGATTATAATGTCTGTTTTCCCAGTTCAGCTGGGTTCCTTTTATCTTTTAGCATGTTACCCAGGGCAATATTCATACTATATCGTGAAGGGTTCCCCTTGTTTTGTACCTAAGCTTTCTGTCTAAAAATGTTTACTGTTAGGTAATTCAGGGAGACAATTTGAGAGACATCACTAATTAATTGTAGAATTTTTTTTTTTTCCTAAAATTATAACAGTTTTGATGAGAGGCTGAGGCAGGAGGATCACTCAAGGCCTTAAGTTAAATGCTGCAGTGTGCTGTGGTGTTGCCTGTGAATGGCCTTGTACTGCAGCTTGGGCAACATAGTGAGACCCTGTTTCTTAAAAAAAAAAAAAAAAAAATTAAAATGGTTTGTGCATAAATGAGAGTTTTCAGGGCCAAAAAATAGCTATTAGCCAACCTAAATTAAGGTTAGTATTTCACAGGTGATATCTCTAACGGCGTACTATAGAGAATGTTAAATTACAGACAGAATCAAACCATGGCCTAGATTACCTTACATTATATTGACTTTCTGATTGACTAAATCATACCTGAATTGGTTAGCTCTAAAGCTTTTGTTATATAATCATTTTTTTTGCAGTAGAATTTGTGGTAAATCACTTTTTCTTCTGCTTTATTGAATGTTTCTGTGCTGTGGAGATACTACAAAGGCCACATAAATTTCCCAGGGCATGATTGACACTCTGAAAAGATCCGGAACTGGTTTGTGACCCTAAGTTTGAAATCTCAGAAGAAGTTTAAGCTGCACTAAGTCTCACTGTTCTGTACTGTTTGTATGAGCATGGCCAAAGTCAGAGGCATTCCCTTCAGCTGTATATTATGTAAGAAGTCAACCAACTGTGTAATGCCACTAGAAAATCCCTCAAGTCTACCTGTTGGAGTGAGGTTATATGGATGGGGAGATTTGGGAATGTTGCAGGACAGCAGGATGAGATGTTAAATGATAGTCTCAATTATTTTAAATAAAATGCTGATGATGCCTTCTTTGGAGAAGCAACAGCATCACAGAAGATTTCTCACCTATTAAAGCACGTCCTAGCTTTAGATCACTTAAGTGGGCCACCTACATTATTATGTCTGATTTCCTGCTACAAAAGATTCGTCATTCTCCTTTGCACAGGTCATGGAAATCACATGTTTAGCCTCAGGAAGTGAGAAATTATAGCTTTTAGTTTATTTGGTGATACATAATTTATTTTAGAACTAAAGCCTCTTTACAAGATGGTTTGCATCTTATATATCATAGTATGAAGCAGTGGTCCTCAACCTTTTTGGCACCAGGGACCGGTTTTGTGGAAGACAATTTTTCCACAGCCACGGTGCAGGGGGATGGTTTCTGGCTAACACTGTTTCCACCTCAGATGGTGCTCCTATAAGAATCTAATGCCACCATTCAGGCTGTAATGCACACACCATTTACCTCCTATTTTTAGTCCTTTAGTCACTTTAGTAGTTTTTTGAACAGAGGTAGTTTAAAATCAGCCGGAGGTAGTTAAAAATAAAGACAGAATCATTGGATTCATCAAATACGTCTAGGTAAATGAAATAAACTTGAGATTTCAAGATGGAAACATGACTTCAGTTCATTAGACAGGTATTAATTCTGTCTTCTACCCCTGCTTGTGCTCATTAAATTAGACATTTCAGTCTTTTAGGCTCTTCAAAATTATAAACAAACTACAGTTGGTATCAATATAGCACTGTGATTGAGGAAAAATTTCAGTGAAGGGCTACACTTTTTCCCTAGTGAGTGTGATAGACTTTTGATGTGTTATTTGGCTTCCCCAGGATGGTATTAATGTTCTCATTCCCGCCTCTTGTTTGGTGTTTTTGTCTGTAGCTCTTGCTTCTGGTGGCTCTCTTCCAATAACATCGCTCGATGCAACTGGGAACCTAGTATTTGCCAATGCAGGAGGAGCCCCCAACATTGTGACTGCCCCTCTGTTCCTGAACCCTCAGAACCTCTCTCTGCTCACCAGCAACCCTGTTAGCTTGGTCTCTGCTGCCGCAGCCTCCGCAGGGAACTCTGCACCTGTAGCCAGCCTTCACGCCACCTCCACCTCCGCTGAGTCCATCCAGAACTCTCTCTTCACAGTGGCCTCTGCCAGCGGGGCTGCATCCACCACCACCACCGCCTCCAAGGCACAGTGAGCTGGGCGGAGCTGGGCTGCCAGAAGCCTTTTTCACTCTGCAGTGTGATTGGACTGCCAGCCAGGTTAATAAACTGAAAAATGTGATTGGCTTCCTCTCACCATGTTGTGAGGGCAAAGGAGAGAAGGGAGAAAAGTAAAACACATACCAGAAAAAAAAGAAAGGATGGAGATGGGACATTTGCCTAATTTTGTAATAAAACACTGTCTTTTCAGGATTGCTTCATGGATTGGAGAACTTTCTAACCAAAAATTAAAAAAAAAAAAAAAAAAAAGAAACAAAAAATCAAAAACAAACAAAAATAAGTGAAAGGACTACTTATCATTTCCAGCAGTCATGATGACAAGTTAAGGTGAGTTACCAATTCCAGTATAGGAAGGGGATTTCTTGTTTGTCTAAATTTCTTTTTTTCTTAAAAAAAAAAAAAAATCATTTTTATGGGTCTGTTGTACAGGCCATTAAGTCATAACAAGGTGTTTATAATCGTATCAATTGTGTTGGGGGTTCCTTTCTTAACTGGTACAATTTAGGCAGGCCTGTATTACTGTATCTCTATTATTATTGTTGTTGTTGTTATTGTTTTATATATATATATATATGTGTGTGTGTATATATATATATATATATATATATATATAGTTTGGACATGTTTATTATCTCTCGCTCCTGGATCCTATTTCAGTGAGCTCCCACACTGTGGGGAGGGAGGGTTTTAGGGTAAGGGGAGACTTCTGTTCTTAACTGCGGGGAATGTTCTTGCTGGTTTCCTTATCCTTGATGACTCTTACAGAGGTGCTAGAAAATTATTTTCTTTTGCCACTTATGCAAGAGGCTTGGTGCAGAAGCTGAAGGCAGTGTGTGCAAACACTCCCATTCCACACACGCCCCTTCCCCTCCCCACATCAGGTGGTGCCTTTGGAGCACTTTTGTGTAGGAAGGAATTCCTGCTGAACTGTAGCTCTCACTCACCCCCAAATCATTGAATGACCCTGAGGCCCAGATCCTGTGGTGCAACAGTGCTGCTTTCTGCTACTTTCAATGGGAACAGCTGTACATGTTGCAGGGCAGGATTTGGTTCCGAAGAGCAAAGACTACTGCAGACACCTGACTTGGTGGCTCTCCTGATTTCTTATCTCCTGAAAAAATGCTCCTACTGTTGGTGTGTGTGTGTGTTTGTTGCATTTTGTGGAAGTTTTTCATCCAAACTTTAACTTTGCCAAGGAAAAAACTGATTTATTGAAATTGGGAAACTTTTCCCTTCTTTTATTTTCTAAAGGAATTCTACTAAACTTATTTTCCATCAATAATATATACAAAAGAGGTGTGATGAGAAGAGTCAAAAGTTACCACTTTTTCCTCCAGAGAGCCACAGACTTCCTTTCTACTGGATGGCTTATAAATTCCTCTAACCCTGTTCCTCTTGGTTCTCTAACTAAAGGAGGCACTTAGTAGCCAGGCTGGGATCTGTAGAACCTTTGAAGAAGGACTTTGAGCAGGAGCTTTGCACACACCTTAAGTGTCTCCTTGGTTTGTTCGTGATGCTCCTGCTAGGTAGGGCTAAATGGCAATACACATCTCTTTATTCTAAGTAGAAAGTGATTAGCTCCTGTAATTATTTTCAGGGTGTTTCTAGACTATATAAGTGAGCCCATTGAAAAGGAAGAGCTTGTGAAAGTGGATGAAGAGGAATAAGGGTAACTTGGAGATTAAATTCCCCTCTTTGTCAGTGTACTGTTATTATGCCATCTGTACCAAAAAAAAAATTCTAAAAGACTGGATCACTGCAGTGCAGTTCATCTAAGTTCGCCCTCTTATTGGAGACAAAGGTTCCCATTTGGTGTCTGTGGGTGCTTGCTTAAATCTCTGGTGGTCCCAAGACTGCACTTTTTCTCCCTTTCGAGCTGGGGATATAGAGAGAACTTACAGGTGATTTTTGTTCTGATGGCTTTGTTTGTGTCTACAAGGGAGCTTGGATTCTGTGTATTTGTCTCTCTTTACCATTGTCCAGAAAGGCAGTAAATACAGGTACAATGTGTACTTTGTGTGTGTTTCAAGTGGGAGACAGTCTGTTAAAAGGTCAGAAACATTTGAGTCCCCTTTAAATTTCTTTTTAGTATTTTTTTCTATCTTATTTCACAAAGTATTTAATTACCACCCCTAAATTTCCTCCTCTTACCCTTCACCTTCCCTAAAATCCTTCCAAAATCAGTGAACTGCAAGCAGGGAAACTAACAAATATCCATTCACCCTTTCGTGTTGTGTGTTTTTTATGTTTTATTTTGTTTTTTAACTAAGCTTGAACCAAAGTCAATTTTTAGCAAGCTGCTGTACTAATGGACTAGTTTATAACGTGCAGTTCAGACACATCGAGGAGATAGATGCTACTGACAATTCCTTTTTCATTTGTCTTTGTTAATTTTATATAAAAGTTGCTGCTTGTTTTTAATCTTTTATGTTGATAAATTGTAATATCCTCTGGGCAGACATTAACACTTGATGTTTAGTTTATTAGGTTGGTGTGTAAATAGAATGACAATGTCAATTACTAATTTCTCTCCTCTCCCTCTCCATCTACTTTTTCTCTGTTGTAGTTAAATTTAATCTTCTATCCTGACTTGACATTTAGTGCGTGCAAATGATTTGAGGGTTATCAGTGATGCTGTAGCTGCCCATAGTAATGAGTCCCTCCCTTGGGAGTGGTGAAACTTAGAAAGAAGGATTCAGGGAGGGAAATGCTGATACCCACTATACTGGATTAGAAGTTATAGCATTAATTTCTCAAAATTGCTACCAAAGGAAGTGTGGAGTCCCAAGGGACTCAAGCTCAGTGAGTTAAGAGAAAAGGCAAGGAAAGGCTATTTGGGTTTTTTTCCCCCCACATGTAGTTTAGAAAATGATCACTTCCCCAAATAAAATTCACCAACAGACTTCAATATTAGAAAAGATACTAAGCTTTAAATGTCAATACAGTGGTCTTTTATTCCCTGCCCTATCTATATTTTCTACTCAATTTGGGATTGGGGATTCTGCTTTTTTTTTTTAATGTGAAGCACTTGGCGATGGTAGACCAGCGTAAAAGATTTGTTTAAAAGAAGAAATAATCTTTAGGCAAAGATAAGTCTTTAGATAAAAGTAAAATTTTATCTCTTTTACTTATTTAAAAATAAGTGAAATGAAAGGTACATTTACACATGTACACATGAAACACTAATATAGGTTTTTGGTTGGTGTTTAGTTTAAAATCAACTCCCTATCCACCATCCCTAGATATTCTGCTGATCATATTGCTTCATGAACACCTTAGTCATTTTTACTTCATGTATGTGTTTGTGTGTGTGTGTGTGTGTGTGTGTGTTTTATCATGTCAAGAAATGCATTTGGGATTGAATGAACTATCTTCTAAGCTAAGGTACTCAAACTTAACTTTTAGCCACCCTTCATGGGAGAGCCTGGAAACTAAAGGGGGCCAAGGGCCATTTGACCAAAAATAGGTGTTTGGTGGAGTATCTGCGTTTCAAAGAAGAAAGCCAGATAGGTCATCACAATTCATTGTATCATTCTTCTTTTTTTCGTTTTAATGTTTATGCAAATTTTATTTTATATTTCTGAATTTGGTTAGCACATACTAAGCCAAAGACTAATTCTAAATGCATTTATAGTGAATACTATATATGCCCATGGTAATGGGTCCTCTCTAAGGAGTGGTGAATGTAATTGTGTGAATCCTGCTTATCACAAGTGGTGCAATTTGGTCATAAACTTTATTTATATCCTGTATAAATCCGAAGAACAGAGCAGAAAGACCTAAAAAAGGGCTTCTCACAGGAACAATATTACTATATTGTTCTAAGAAATAAGTTGAGTGCTGTATTAGTTTCAGTGTTTCTGAAGTTCTATAGGCAGCATTTTAGAATTAAGAAAAACATTGTGTATATCCATTAACTGATATAATATACACATCCTTTCATTTATCAGAAAGATGAGTACTATCCCAATTTATTCAGCTTGTTACTCGAGAAATGGAACCAAAGGAATGCAACTTTGATTTTGTATAGAACCATGCCTATTTATACTTCATGCTAGATTAGAAGAAATAAATCTTTTGTTTTAAAAAAGGGAAGATAAAATTAAAGATTCTTAGATTATCTTGCCAATTTGTTGTACATTTCTCATTCGTTGTTGGGGAAGAAAGCACAACTATACCTCTTTAATGTTATTTTCTTCCATTATCCCTCATTTATTTGGGAAGATAAGGGAAACCTTGTCTATATTATCCAGAAGCACAGATGTTTGCTTAACACAATATTTAAATTCAGCCCACTCTTTAACATTAAACAATTTTCTTTATAACTTGCTGGAAAAGTTGGATACATGGGCAAATATAGGGAATTCATGTCAATTTTTATTTTATTTATTTTTTTGAGATGGAGTCTCACTCTGTTTCCCAGGCTGGAGTGCAGTGGTGCTGTCTCAGCGCACTGCAACCTCCACCTCCTGGGTTCAAGCGATTCTCCTGCCTCAGCCTCTCAAGAAGCTGGGATTACAGGTGACCACCACCATGCCTGGCTAATTTTTGTATTTTTACTAGAGACGGGGGTTTCGCCATGTTGGCCAGGCTGATTTTAAACTCCTGACCTCAGGTGATCCACCTGCCTTGGCCTCCCAAAGTGCTGGGATTGCAGGTGTGAGCCACCGCCCCATCCTCATGTCAATTTTTAAAGTGATAAATCCTCATATTATACATTGCAATTAGTGTAGAATAAACACTTGGCTTACAGAACTCTCTGTTCATAGTCTAAAGCTGTTCCCAAACCAGGTCATCCTCACAAAACATTTTTGACCAAGAAGAAAGATGAGGTCATTGAGATAGAAAGACAGAGAAACCTCTTGCTTTTGTTTCTTCCCAAGAAGGGAGAAGCCCTGCCAGGGAGAAGTCAGTAGCATCACTGACTCACCCTATCACTGAGTGTAGGGTGTGGTAGCAAGGAGGAGGCAGGGACGTTGTGCTGACTGGTGGCTCTGGCCTGGCTCTTGGGAGGCCTTCCAAAGACCAGTCTGCAGTTTGAGGAAGGGCCCCCAACAATTCATTTGGAGAGCTTGGCCAAGTGCTTTCTCATTAAATCAGCATCTAAACC